CAATTGTCCGTCTTACCTTCCAAAGTTTTTTTAGCATCGCTCGCAGGTAAAATGAGGTGCCCAGGGTTTGTCTTGATCCTGGACAGGCATGCCGAAATATGCCTTGTAGACCTCACACATCTTAGCAGATGCTTCTACAGAGTACTTTTTCGCTCATCTTGATAAATTGGCCGCAGACACAGCAAAATGTCTGCCGGATGCTTGCAGCCTCTTGATGTCATCTCAGAAAAATGCAGATATGTATCCACTTAGGCAGCTATAACTAAACTGAACCGGTGGGCTTAAGGCCTCTGTATTTATATTATTTATTTTACTGGAAAGTTCTGGAAAGTTCAAGAAGTTACTCCAAGTTTACTCCGCACTGAATCGATTTGGAATGTTCTGGAAAATAGGTACACTTCAAAATATCACTCTCCTGGTCACACAAGCAAAGTTTGTGGGGAATGGGTCATTTTCTGTACTTTTGAAGCATAAGCAATTAGGAAATAACACTTACTACCCAGGGACAACATTTTTTTGTTGCAAAGTGTCATCAAAAGGTGTGCATGTAGTTATGTGTATTATTGGCTCTTTCGTTGTCTAGGGGCGTATCATGTGTGATGTGATTGATGTGTGAATGTTTGAGTGGGGTGCTTGGCTTCGTTGTCTAGGGGTGTATTATCAATCGTCATAATACAATGATTCTCGCTTAAACTTTTACCGATTATGATTTAGTGTAATTATGTCCGGTCTCAGGATTCAGATCTCGCCGCAGGATACAGTTCATATAATTAAGATAAGTATGCATGAAGGAATCACTCAGACTCTGTGTTAAGCAACTTTAACATCTAAAAACACTCTAATATGCATACAAACCTATAATCGGAATTACCACAGTACGCCTGTATAGTATATATCATCCTCATTGATCCACACAATTAAAAACGCAATGGTTACGCGGTTAAATTGAGCAATAGAATAAAGTAATGTGACAATACACGATAGGAAAGTCCTTAAAAGTCCTTAAAAATGGCAATATTTATACGGAACCGTGCCAACGAAACATGTGACCAACGGCAAAAGAGGGGATCAATGAATCCATTGGTAAGAGTATGCAATTAAATAAATATCCCAAGACAAGCGTACATGCGAATTTGTGGGCAAGATTACGCGATTAAAATAATTCTCAAACAATAATATTCATGCAAGTGTGTAGATTCGGAAAATAGATGCTTATCAATGTTTAGTGTGACATCAATTAATCCATTGGCAAGATTACGTGATGGAAAGAAACCAAACGACCAACACATTCCTGCGGAGGGAGCTGGTAGGAACGTTGGGTTGCTCGGTCAATGGCGGCGTGGTGTATTCCGCAAATATGGCCGACTGTGAGGGCGGGCACAAGCCGGCGTGAGTAGGTTAAACGTTGAGTTTTATAAGGGCACCACGGGGTGACCAGCCCCTCCCCACCCAGCCCCACCCCTCCCACCCCCCACCCAGCCCCATGCCCTCCCCACCCTCCCCGCCCCACCCAGCCCCGCCCCACCCTCCCCACCCAGCCTCTCCCCACCCTCCCCTCTCCACCCAGCCCCACCCCTCCCATTTTTGGATTCACGACGGACGGACGGACACAATAATCCCCTGGGGATTGGTGTAACCAGGAGGTTCCTACCAGTAAATGACTATTCATGCAACTTAAGGGACAGAAAAATGCTTCTCCATGACCAGTTAATAATTAACACACCACCTTCGCACCTTGGCTGGGAATTCATCTGTTTTTGGTCTTTGATTTCTCTCACAAAGGAGCAAGCGTTCTTTTGATTGTGACCGTTTGTGTCCAGATATTTCAAGTTTCAGTTTAATTTATTAGATAAAGCCCTGTGAGCCACGCAGCTCTTGACTCCGGTGCAACCGCAACAAACAAAAACATGAACAAAGATCATCTTAAAGTGACTACGCGCAACAGAAAAATCCAGGAAAAAACAGCAAAGTCTTCCACAAAAAAACACCGTATATCAACGCTGTGCAAAAATCCCAGTGGGATGCAAATCAAACAATAATAACCATAAGACAATTTAGATTAATTTATCAGGCTAACTCGGTACTTCAACAAACATGGATAACCCATACGTTTTCGAAATCACCAAAATAAAGCTATAAAAACAATGTAACAGTGATCATAGGAACTGTGATTCAAATTTAACAATAAACGATATGCGCGTATCTGTGTGTCTGTTATAGGTTATTGAAATCACATCAAGGCCCAAAACTTCTCCCCTTCCTACAGTCATCTCAATAATTCACCTCCAGATATCTTTTGTGTGGGCGAGGCAGCAAAGGGGGGGGGGGGGGGTGCTCCTTTGACCTTTTGTTGTCTCGAGGGAGGACACAACTCGCTAAATCCAGATCTATAAAAACTATTACATTAAAAACATGCAAAATCAATCTTAATATACATTTTTGGAAAAGGCAAATTTCTAACAGAGTGCATCATTGATTCAGTGCAAGCCACCTGTGGACCGGTATTGGTGTATTGTCTCAAGAGCAGTCGGGTTTCCTTCAACCGATGATTATGAACATCCATATGTGAATCAGCAAGAAGCATTTCTAGTCCTTAGTTTGACAAAATCTTTATAAACACGTAATACAAAATTATAATTCGTGTTGTGGAAAATGTATCTCATATACGTATCATTAAGTGGTATACCTTGCAACTGATTAATGATGTGAATTATCCTTATTTCAAAGAACATGCATGCCTTGCTCCAGAGGCAGATGCTTCCTGAATCATAAAAATACCCTTTGACCCGTATCACAAAACAGCTCTCACGTGAGTTATGTGTGCAGGTTACTACCAAGCACACACTTTGTCCAGTCATCACATATTCCATGTTTGACTGATAGAAATTGACTGATAGAAATACATTTTACTTGTTTGCACAAAATCAGACAAGTATTCATAAAATTATAATTCTAAATTATCGATAGGCTTATTGACAAAATGTAATTACTGCACTGAAATTTACTTTATCATGTTATATCGTATATACAAGAAGTTGATTTATGTCTGGATAAGGCCTACACCTGCAGCACTCAGATTGAGGGAAGCCAAGTTGTATTGCATTCTCTTTTTGTTGCAGAGGTTCAAGTTTCAAATATGACAGGCACCCCTAGTTAGTCAAGGAACATTAATAAAAAAAACGTGCACCGTCTGCTTAACAGTGGATGTTTAAACATACTATTGTGTCATTCAAAACAAGTAGGTCATTGCATTCCAGCATTGTGGTCAAAATTCGCCAAATTCGAAATATTACCCACAAATTACACTGGTCTACCGCCAAAATGCTTCCGAAATAAACGTATCTTCTTGGTTCTTTCGGTAAAGTCACGTAGAAGGGAAGTAATAAAATAATAAAAATAAAACATAATAAAATTAAATAATTCTCACGACGTTTCGGCCACAACGCAAGCAGCCGTCTTCAGGTGAAGAATGAGACACTACCAAACTAGGAGCTTATATATAAGCTGCGTTGGAAGTGGAAGAGCGCCTTAACAAAAAGAATGTGCATATGAAGAGGAATTTAGCATATTCATGGAAAATGCGTAGGCGTTGGGCGGGGGGGTTTCAAAGTCATATTATGCCCATGCATAATGCAGGATTAGCAGCACCAAGGGGGGGTGCAGGGATTAGCAGTAACAAAGGAAAGGAATGTTAATGATATGTAGCTGCAGTTACTCAACAACCACGTAGAAAACTAAAGTATAAACTACATAAAAAACTAAAGTATAAACTGCTTAGCACCATCAGTATACTTACTATACTCTACAATAAGCTGAGTTACTAACCGCAAGTAATACATTACAATTCTACGTCGTAAAAATTCTATAATATGCTTCCATCTAAACTTTATTCTCTTACATCACACGAGCATATACCGTACTATATACTGCCATAGATAAACCCAACATTAAATTATATACTGTATTGCTGTAAACCAACCTATACCTTATACATTTTTAATTTAATACTATGTATTATTCTACACACCCTAATGTGTATCGAAATGGTTTATTACGTCCTTCCAATGATTGCTAAGCCAGAATCCATCTTCTCGGTTAAAATTGTCTCTGTGTTTGTATATGTGGATCGCCTCATGAACGAATCTCTCATGATAGCCAGATGGCTTGCAGAGAACCTCTGTCTTGGAGAAGTCAATATCATGTGAGCCCACTGAGTTGTAACAGTGATCTGCCACGGCTGAGGTGTTTGTCCTACCGTGTTTCAGGTCAGCTTTATGTTCACGGATGCGGTCCGAGACATGTCGTTTGGTTTCCCCAATGTAACTGCTACCACAGAGGCAACTTAGTTTGTAGACGCCAGGGTACTGTATGTCTGGAACCACATCTTTTACAGACGGTACCAGATCACGGATTTTATGTACTGTGTTGAATCGAACCTGGATCTTGTGTTTAATCAGGATTTTGGAGATCTTTTTTGTGACCCCAGCAATGTAGGGTAAGGTGATGGTCTTGAAAGGCTCCTCAACAGGATCCTTCTTGATGGTTGGAGTGATGGCTTTGCGGATTGTGTAGTCGGAGTAACCTATTAGCCTTAAGAGCTTGGCGTACGTGTTGAGTAACTGCAGCTACATATCATTAACATTCCTTTCCTTTGTTACTGCTAATCCCTGCACCCCCCCTTGGTGCTGCTAATCCTGCATTATGCATGGGCATAATATGACTTTGAAACCCCCCCGCCCAACGCCTACGCATTTGCCATGAATATGCTAAATTCCTCTTCATATGCACATTCTTTTTGTTAAGGCGCTCTTCCACCTCCAACGCAGCTTATATATAAGCTCCTAGTTTGGTAGTGTCTCATTCTTCACCTGAAGACGGCTGCTTGCGTTGTGGCCGAAACGTCGTGAGAATTATTTAATTTTATTATGTTTTATTTTTATTATTTTATTACTTCCCTTCTACGTGACTTTACCGAAAGAACCAAGAAGATGAATCCCTGCAGTCACGAAAGCTTTAAATTGAGAAATAAACGTAGTCCAACTTTACTAATTCTGGGTCGCTGAGAATGAAAATGATGCTTAAATTGTTGATTCACATTAGTTTTCAAGATATGCTACTGGGCCCGTTTATACGACCCTTGACTTGGGAATGGTGGAGGATAAGTGAGTTATAAAGGGAAGGGACCTCAATTTAAACCAGAAATGACTAAAATACATCTTTGACTAGATCTATGAATAAATCTATGACTGGGTTTGGACAGTACTAGCTTTTTTAGCAAAACAATAATTGATGCAATCTGAAACTAGTATTGCATCATACATGATATGAATTGCATCATGTTATTCCTATAAGTCATGGATGATGCAATCATAACTAGGCTTACATCACTCTGCTGAACAAAATCGTGCACAGGACACATTTTTGTTTTGCCAAAGTAAGCAGAGATGCCTCGTACTTGTGTGAACAAAGCAGATAGCTTCTGCCGTGTTTGTGGTGAAGTGACTTTTCCATCACAAAAGCGCAGTATAACCGCTATGGTTAAGAAAGCCAATCACCTTTATTTTGGCTGCAAAATTGGAGATCAGGACAAGATGGAGCCCCACACATATGCTGCAACACCTGTGCAACAAATCTTCGCCAGCGGTTGAATAGGAAATCTATGCCTTTTGCAGTGCCAATGATTTGGAAACAGCCAACAGATCATATCAGCAATTGTTACTTCTGTATGGCGTCTCAAGTTGGGATAGGTGTGTCAAAGAAGAAAAAGTGGACTGTGCATTATCCAAACATTTCATCAGCGATACGCCCAGTACCAGACGGAGGACTGCCAATTCCTGATGCACCAGAATCATTCCCACTTGAGTCAGGTGAGGAAGAGGATGAAACATCTGGTCCTGAACCATCAAGGTTACATGACCCAGATTTTATCTCATCCTCCTCTTCTTAACCACACCTCATAACACAAGGTGAACTGAAAGACGTTGTCAGGGATTTGGAACTACCCAAGAGTAAGGCAGAGCTGTTGGGCTCCAGACTGCAACACTGGAATCTCCTGGCAGGTGATGTTAGGTTTTCCATGTTCGTGACCGTCAAAAGGATCTTGTCCCATTCTTCTTCATGGAAGGTGATCTTGTAGCCTGCAACAATATCGACGGTGTGATGGCAGCCCACAAAATCGTTAATGATCCAGTTGAGTGGAGACTGTTAATTGATTAATCGAAGATGAGCCTTAAAGCTGTTTTGCTGCATAATGGCAACTTTTTTGCCATCAATTTCAGTTGGTCATGCAGTCCATATGAAGGAAACCTATAACAACATGAAACAACTTTTGAGGTCCATAAACTATGACCAACATCAGTGGCAGTTTTGTGGCGATTTGAAGGTTGTTGCTATATCTAGATCTGAAGTTTTCGTGACTGCAGGGATCCATACATTTTGGTTCTTTCGGTAAAGTCACGTAGGTATAAAATAAATTAAATCACGACGTTTCGATCGCAACACAAGCGACCGTCATCAGGTGGAACAGATACAGCAGAACTGCTGACATAGGAGAAAGAGCTGCTGCAACAAGAGTTTTTATCAGATTTTGGTGGGCTCAACCCAATGGTAAGTGGGAGGAGCTAGAAAAGGAATTTGTACGTAAATGTGAGAGATTAGCATGTCAATGTGAGAAAGTCCCCAGACACCAGGGGTGGTGGGAATCCTGTGCCTAGGCTGCCTCACCCAAGGGTAAGTGTGCGGAGCTAGAGAAGGAATTTGTACGTAAATGTAAATGTGAGAGATTAGCATGTCAATGTGAGAAAGTCCCCAGCCACCGGGGGTGGTGGGAATCCTGTGCCTTGGCTGCCACACAGATGTTTAGCCTGGTGATGTACTCGGAGAGTCAGAAATAACAGCTGAAACAGGCAGGTAGGATGGAATCATCACAATCAGTTAAGACTTTACTTGGTTAATAACGTCCTTCCAATGATTGCTCAGTTTGTATCTATCTTCCCGGTTGAAGTTATGTCTAAGTTTATATATCTGGGTGGCTTCATGAACAAACCTTTGATAGTATCCTGACGGTTTGCAGAGCACCTTGGTCTCGGAAAAACAATATCATGAGAGCTCACAGCGTTATAGCTGCCTTGTGCTCGCCAATACATCCGATATATGTTGTTTCGTTTCCCCAATGTAACAATCACCACAAGTGCAACTTAGTTTGTGAGGCAGCCTAGGCACAGAATTCCCACCACCTCCGGTGGCTGGGGACCTTCTCACATTGACATGTTCTCTTGTTTGGTCTACAGACTGGATACACAAAGTACTGCTGTTTTCTCTGCGAATGGAAGACGTGCGAGAGATTCCCACTACATTGGAGCCTGGGAGGAAAAGTGTTCAGCATCCACCACTTGTTGAATCAAGGAAAATGTTGTTACCACCCATACACATCAAGCTGGATCTGATTAAGAACTTTGTCTAAGCCATGGACAAGCAGTTTTCAAGTACCTCCGTGGAAAATTTCCAAGGTTAAGTGAAGCTAATATAAAGGATTAATGAACTTCTTCGAGATTATGCATTTGACAGTGCACTGTGTGGCAAGGAAAAGAGGCATGGAAAGCCTTCCAGTTAGTGGCAACTAGAGGGAGTTGGCGGAAAACCTCAAGGCATACACAATCCTTGGTTGCAACATGTCACTAAAGATATATTTTTTGCGCTCATCTAGATTTTATCCCACCGAATTGCGGAGCAGTGAGCGATGAGAATGGCGAGCGATTTCACCAGGACATTGCAACAATAGAGAAACGGTATCAGGGCAAAGGGAGCCCATCAATGCTTGCAGACTATTGCTGGACAGTGACAAGAGATGCTCCATTTAATGGATACAAGAGACAAGCCAAGAGGCACCAAGTAGACACTGAATAAGGACGTAACTTTGTGATTTTATACACATAATAGTTTTTCCTTTCGTTTCATAATTAGAGTTATATATCCTTTTTACTGATTTGTAAGTGTCACATGAACAAGACAGGTGACATGTGACCATGTAAAGCAACATTAAATATATTAAAAGACCGAGGTTTACAATTTATGAGTAAAACTCTACGATCAACAGAATATACAGACGTATAATGTAAAAACTTAAATATCTTGGGAACAGTAGACAATCAGTTGTTTTAATTGTCATATTTGAATCGGCGCGTAAAACTCCATAATAAACAGCACATTTCATCTCTAAAGCAGAAGACGTCTAAAAAACGTATAGACCAGTATTACACAACTGAGATTACACATCAATCATCGCTCCCTACTGAAAGACTCATTCCCACATGCCGGCTGATGCAGGGCCACCTTATGCCACACAGGGGCAGCTGCCGCTTGGGGATTCTCTTCGAGTGTTTGTGATGAAATGATACGAAACTCCGAATTACTGAGGCAATTAAGCAAGCACCATATAAATGCAAATATTATAACATAGTGAATGCTTGGGAGCTTATTGGCTCTCGCTCCTGGTTAGAGATCTACCCAACCCACAGGTCCACAAATACTGGCTGCTCTTACTTTGCAGGTTGAACCTAGGAATTGAGTGTTCAACTTCACATTCTTTTCATGAAAGGCCTGTGACAAAGGTGAATCTATTGGAGTATCATTGTATCAAGTTTGCACATCTACCTGGTCTCCATTTGACTTTGTACTGTCTAAGAAGTCCACCCACACCTCCACTTCCACAAACTGATGGGAGTTGCCTCGCTCTGCATTCTCCTCCTGCTTCACGTTGCCTCCATCGATGTGAAGGTCCAATATTGGAGTTGAATCTTCATCTTCACATTTAACCTTCACTTTTTCGCTCTTCACTATCACTTCTTCAAATTTCAAATTCACTTTTTCATATTTCACCTCGATTCCTTTATAAGTGTCCAAGCTGAGATTTGCTTCTGGTTCTTGTTTCATGAGGGATGGGCTCATTGCAGCACTTTGACGTTCACAAGCCGATTTCAAACTCCACTCCTTCTTCTGATGACTGTGTGTTCTCTGGTGTGTTTTAAGATTTGATGACTGTGTAAACGCCTTCCCACACACAATGCACTTGAATGGTTTCTCTCCTGTGTGTGTTCTCTGGTGTGTTTTAAGAGTAGATGAATCTGAAAATGCATTTCCACACACACTGCACTTGAAGGGTTTCTCTCCTGTGTGTGTTCTCTGGTGTGTTTTAAGAGTAGATGAATCTGAAAATGCATTCCCGCAAACACTGCACTTGAATGGGTTTTCTCCTGTATGTATTCTCTGGTGTTGTTTAAGAGTAAATGAAGATGAAAATGCCTTCCCACACACACTGCACTTGAAGGGTTTCTCTCCTGTGTGTGTTCTCTGGTGGGTCTGAAGAGCTGATGACTGTGCAAATGCCTGTTCACATACAGTGCACTTGAAGGGTTTCTCTCCTGTGTGAGTTCTCTGGTGGATCTGAAGAAATGATGACCATGCAAATGCCTTCTCACAGACAGTGCACTTGAAGGGTTTCTCTCCTGTGTGAGTTCTCTGGTGGCTCTGAAGAACTGATGACCGTGCAAACGCCTTCCCGCATAGAGTGCACTTGAATGGTTTCTCTCCTGTGTGAGTTCTCTGGTGGCTCTGAAGATTTGATGACCGTGTAAATGCCTTCTCACACAAAGTGCACTTGAAAGGTTTCTCTCCTGTATGTGTTATCTGGTGTTGTTTAAGAGTAAATGAACATGAAAATGCCTTCCCACACACACTGCACTTGAATGGGTTCTCTCCTGTGTGTGCTCTCTGGTGTCTTTGAAGATGTGCTGACCGTGCAAACGTCTTCTCGCACACAGTGCACTTGAAAGGTTTCTCTACTATATGTGCTATCTGGTGTTGTTTAAGATTAGATGAAGATGAAAATGCCTTCCCACACACACTGCACTTGAAGGTTTTCTCTCCTGTGTGAGTTCTTTGGTGCCGTCTCAAATTTCCAGTACGATCCGTTGTGTTTGCATACTGGTCGCATTGTTGCATTTTTGTACCGAGCTGCACTGAGTCCCTTTGCTCCATCAGAACAATTTTGCAGAGGAAGCGTCAGCTGCAGAAAGAAAAAAAATATCCACACCATCTACGTCAGTATCAAGGCACAGAGGAATGCATATACACAGTCACATGACTTACACGTCTATACTTATTCATTTTTAATGATATAGTTAAAAAGATTCCCCTGTTCAGCACACTGGCTGTTAAGGCACAATGAGAGGGCAAATGGTCATTAATGTCTGGAAGCCCAAGTATCTTAAAAATTAATGTTAACCCAAAACTTACAGCACACAATTTCAGCTGTCTGTCTACAAAGGAATATTTAGAAAAGCAAAATTCAGCTAACAAAGCAAAGTGTGTTGAAAATAATACTATTTGTGTTATGCAGAAATGCATAAATTAATGTTCAATTATAACTTAGATGTGTGAAGCCAGGTTCAGATTTGTTTGAATGCTCGGATGAACAGATGTAACTTAAGCTGCATATGTGGTGTTATTTTCCTGTTTCCATTCTTTAAAAAGTTCCAGAGGAAAAAAAAAAAATCTTTTGATTTAACCTCCGTGTTCAATCGAGTTAATATACTTTACAGCAAATACAAACTTTACACTGTCATACACTGGCATGGTAAAAAGGTGGTGGTGTGTCCAGAACCATGCCTGGCCGCCTTCATCTGCTCAGTATTAATGCTTCCTCACTTCACCATGTAATTAATTGAGGATCATTCAACATAGCAGAGGCCCACAATAAGTTAAGTTTTCACTTATCAATCATGTTTGCTGTTGGTGATAATCAAACTCTAATTGTTGAGTTCATAATGCAGTGAAATAACTGTGCCACCGCTCCCCACATAGATAACTCTTCCAAATACATTTCAAATGGATCAATAAAAGAAAAAAGAAAACAGTGAGCATTCATCACTATTTTTAAGTAACCTTGTCACAGTGATCATGCCATGATAGGTGCAATTTAATGTTATGTAAGTGTGGATCACTTGTCAGCAGGTCATGGGAATGATCCAGGTGTCATGGGATAACCGACTGAGATAATTGAGAGATGCATCAGCTGTGCTCCCCAATGTCTTTATGCATTATAGGCACCCAGAGTTCCACCCATTCATGTGAGCGTCACTCCTCTGACCTCATTGTTGTTGCAGAGCAAATATCTCTTAACTGTCCTGCAGCATACAGTGAGGGAAAAAAGTATTTGATCCCCTGCTGATTTTGTACGTTTGCCCACTGACAAAGAAATGATCAGTCTATAATTTTAATGGTAGGTTTATTTGAACAGTGAAAGACAGAATAACAACAAAATCCAGAAAAACGCATGTCAAAAATGTTATAAATTGATTTGCATTTTAATGGGGGAAATAAGTATTTGATCCTCTCTCAATCAAAAACATTTCTGGCTCCCAGGTGTCTTTTACAACAGGTAACGAGCTGAGATTAGGAGCACACTCTTAAAGGGAGTGCTCCTAATCTCAGCTTGTTACCTGTATAAAAGACACCTGTTCACAGAAGCAATCAATCAATCAGATTCCAAACTCTCCACCATGGCCAAGACCAAAGAGCTCTCCAAGGATGTCAGGGACAAGATTGTAGACCTACACAAGAGCGTCACTCCTTTGACCTCATTGTTGTTGTACAGGAAATACCTCCAACTGCCCTGCAACATACCTCAGGGGCCTCCTCCACAGAGGCTAATCTTGACACTCCTGGTAAAGTCATCAGCAGGTCTGATCACCTCTACATCCTCCAATCTCTTCTTTAGCCAATGCCATGCCTGTTTAGCCCCTAATATCTGCACTAACAAAAGCTGCTTGACCATGGAGTATGCAGGATTCATGACCCAACCAATGAAGGCTCGCTTGCCAAAGAGACTCACTGATTATATTCTGTACTGATATTTCAGGGATCTGTAAGGTACTAATACAATCTTGTCTGGTTCAATAGAGGAGGGATCATAGGCAGGCCTTTAAATAAGTTCATATTTTGCATCCACAGAGAAAGGAGTAATATCTGTGGCCAAAACGACTCAAAGCTTTGTTCGTTCATTCGTTTCTAAATCCGCTTGTCCTGGTGAGGGTTGTGGCATCAGCACATTCAGTAGGGCAGTCCAGACCTCCCTTTCCCTGCTGACAGACTCTAGCTCTTCCTGGGGAATTCCCAGGCGTTCCTAGGCCAGCCGAGCGACATAGTCCCGCCAGCGTGTCCTGGGCCGCCCCCGCGGTTTTCCCCCAGTGGGACATGCCTGGTAGAGTTCGAGGGGGCGTTTATTGGGGGCATCCTTACAGATATTCTATATTGATATCATCCATGGAACGAGGCCTGGGGGTGGTGTTCGCCAACAAGCACCTGGTGGCTGGGTGACCCACGTAACCCAGTCAGGCCCAGGCATGAATGGCTACGTGGTCCGCCCACCAACCGCAGGATGAAGGGTGAGGGACGGGTGCGATGCCAGTATGGCAGGGAGGGGGATGGTCTCAGACAGACTAGACCTTGGCAATGGACAGTCACAGCTTTGTATGGAGCAAAAGTCCAGGCAGCTTCCACATAGTGTTACACAGTTTAATGAAACCATGCTGCTCAATTAATTTGAAGAGCTGGTCGTGAACATATTAACCAGATATGGGAGCTCCTCCAACATTTGTAGAACTGACCTGATTATTCATGGAGAGTTGAGCAGGTGCAGTGTTGTATGATATGAAATTCCCAGGCAGGCGATTTATTTTGTGGAATATATGCAAGGCCCCATTTCATGATTGAATTATCCAGGCACAAAACAAGATTCCCTAACTCCATCTGATTGTGTAGCCATTACCAGATAATCAGTATATCTAACATGGTTGACAAGCAGGGATTGATCCCTTAACTATAACCATGCATCGATTAGCGCATCATTGCAACCGTAATGAATGCAATTTATTTATATGGCCATTGTGAGCTTCTCATAAACTACTTAATTATTGACGATGCTATGTAATGTAATGCATGAGGCCAGAGTGAATTCCTGTCACTAGAAAATTTGAACAGGAAAAGGCTTCGACTCCTGGTCATGCAGCTTTAGACGGGCCTGCCCAAAATCATAAAAGTCATCAACGAGTCTGAGCAGAGGCAGACATCGAAAACAAAGAACCCAAAGCCCAAAGCCTCTTTATGGTACTATAGGCCTTAATTTAATCAAGAAAGCAGAGATTTAGTTTCCGGAGTACTCCTCTGCTGTAGTCGATCGACAGAAAATACAGCAGCCCCTTGAATATCACGGAGGTTACGTTCTTGGAAAGTGCCACGTGAAAGCTTAAAGTGCAATATTAAATACTTAAGTCTTACCTAAGTCATGGCGTTAGGTAAACGGCAACTAAAATTTACATCACAATTGAAATAAGTACTGTACTGTATTCCAAATAAACTAAAAACTAAGCAATTGAAATAAACATTGAGAAACCATATCCAAAAAATATTCCAAGATAAAAAATAGGAAACATTTATATAAATAAAGCAGACTTTGCACGTGTACTTTGTTCCCATGAAACCTACACAACCCAAACTTTCCATGCATACTCACGGGCGATAGTGTTTTAGTGTGTTTTTTGCACAATTTTTAGCTTACTTGCTCACCTTCAACATCTGCAAACTCCAACCCCTCGCTGCTGCATCCAACCCCCCACCCTTTCTTTTGCCATTCTCACTACTACCGGTTTGCCACGCACGCAAACACATTATGACATTTCAGAAACTACAATTCCACGCACTCATATTATCAGGCCTGCGTTTTTGCTGGAAAATTCATCCACTTCCGGCTCCTTACCGTCCTCTCTTGCACGTGCATGGCTCACCTCTAACACACACTGCAATATTTATTTTAAAAACACATGTACTATTCTAAAATATCTACATAACAGTACTGTCGATATTCTACACAACATAGACGCTATACAACAGATACGACTAAATACATAAATTCTACATTGCCTATTAACGAATAAAAAGCATGCACACACTCACTTTAAAATAATAATATATGTCCACATCACCACACGCATTCTATTCATACCAACTTCAAGCACTAGAAACAATTACTCCTTCCAACAACTTACAGCTTTACACTTCGTTCCTTTGTGGCTATGTCTTCACATTCCTACAACGATTATACATTTAACTCGCATTTCATTAACAATCTCTATATAGAATTTACTCACACACTCACTACACTGTTCTTACGTTTTTTAGATGTGTTTTGTCCATGGCTTTGACAAAGTTCTTCATCAGACCCAGCTTGATGTGTACGGGTGGTAACAAAATCTTCCTTGATTCAACAAGTGGTGGATGCTGAATACCTTTCCCCCCAGGCTCCAATGTAGTAGAAATCTCTCGCATGACTATCCCATTCGCAGAGAAAACAGCAGTACTTTATGTATCCAGTCTGTAGACCAAACAAGAGAGTAACAACCTTCAAATCACTACAAAGCTACCACTGATGTTGGTCATAGTTTATAGCACCTCAAAAGTTGTTGAATGTTGTCATAGGTTTCCTTCATATGGACTACATGACCAACTGAAATTGATGGCAAAACATTGCCATTATGCAGAAAAACAGCTTTAAGACTCATCTTCGATGAATCAATGAACAGTCTCCACTCATCTGGATCATGAACGATGTTGAGAGCTGCCATTACACAATCGATGTTACAGGCTCCAAGATCACCTTCCATGAAGAATAATGGGACGATCCTTTTGACGGTCACGAACATGGAAACCCTCACATCACCTGCCAGGAGATTCCACTGCTGCAGTCGAGAGCCCAACAGCTCTGCCTTACTCTTGGTAGTTCCAAATCCCTGACAAAGTCTTTCAGTTAACCTTGTGTTATGAGGTGTGGTTCAGAGGAGGATGGGAGAAAATCTGGGTCATGTGACCTTGATGGTCCAGGACCAGAAGTTTCATCCTCTTCCTTGCCTGACTCAAATGAGAATGATTCTGGTGCATCAGGAACAGGCAGTCCTTCTCCGTGGAGTACTGGGCATATAGCTGATGGAATGCACAGTTCACCGTTAATTGTTTAACACACCTTTCCCAACTGGAGGCACCATGCAGAAGTAACAATTGCTGATATGATCTATTGGATCTCTCCAAATCATTAGCACTGCAAAAGGCATAGATTTCCTTTTCCTGTTCAACTATTGGCAAAGATTTGTTGCACAAGTGTTGCAGAATGTGTGGGGCCCACATCTTGTCCTGATCTCCAATTTTGCAGCCGAAATGAATGTGATAGGCTTTCTTAACCATAGTGGTTATACTGCGCTTTTGTGATGCAAACGTCACTTCGCCACAAACATAGCAGAAGTGATCTGCTTTGTTTACACAAGTACGAGGCATCTCTGCTCACTTTGGCAAAATAGAAATGTGTCCCTTTGCTAAATCAAATATTGAAAAATAAGAGAGCACTACACTGCATGATTTCTAGAGCGTCTACTTGTAGTACTAATCGCATATCTGCATTTCCCATAAATATGCTAAATTCCTCTTGATATGCAAATTATTTTGTCAAGACGCTCTTCGCCCCTCCATCCCAGCATGAACAGTCGCTCCAAGCCTGGAGCGTGCCATTGACAGACCTGTTCTCCACCTGAAGACGGCTGCTTGCGTTGTGGCCGAAACGTCGTGAGAATTATTTTATTATGTTTTATTTGTATTATTTTATTACTTCCCTTCAACGTGACTTTACTGAAAGAACCAAGAAGATGAATACCCTTCTCTTTATAACTCACACATCCTCTGCCATTCCCAAAGTCAAGGGTCGTATGTATTGAAAACTAGAGCCAAACAACACTTTTAAGAATAATTTTCATTCTCAATTACCCAGAATAAGTAAAGTTGGACTACATTTATTTAAGACACATTTTTGCGAAAGACCAGTTCTATTTACTCTTTTCTGCTTATTAACTTTTACCTCCACCTATGTTCCTTGCAGAAAACGTGCGCTTGTCTTCACCAAAGACGATTACAATAATTGATGCCATTCGTAAAAGTGCTGCAATGGCTGCAATTATAGCTCCTGAACACAAAGAATTGAGACGGCATGCTGCCTGTGCTGCACATACAGCTAATGAATCTCCAAGACAGCATAGCATGCTGCCAGTGCTGCGATGGCTGCACCTACAGCTTATGAAACTCCAGTACAGCATGAAGTAAGACCACATGCGACCAGTGCTGCTATGCCTGCACCTAGAGCGAATGCAACTCCTCAACAGCAATAAGCTACACAGAAAACTAAGACAGCACAAATGGATGCTGCCACAGCTAATCAAACTCCAGTCCACCAAAAACCAAGGGAGCTTGCAAACAGCACTACAATGGCTGCAACAAGGTACCAAAAGGAAAAGTCTTATTTTCCATACATTCCTCACCTCATAATAGAGGTTTTTGGGTTAGATCACTTAAATTTCTAGATGTATCGTTAACACCCACCACCACCCGACACAGCCAACTAGTAAGGGTTGTCACGTAAACAGAACATGCCAATTTGTCACTAGTACAGCACACAGGTTGTGTGTTGGAGAGCCAAGCCACAACATTTACAATTGGAAAAAGATGTTTTGGGTGAGTGGTGAGTCTGTGGGTGAGTGGTGAGTCTGTGTGTGAGTGGTGAGTCTGTGGGTGAGTGGTGAGTCTGTGGGTGAATGGTGAGTCTGTGGATGAGTGCTGAGTCTGTGGGTGAGTGGTGAGTCTGTGGGTGAGTGGTGGATCTGTGGGTGAGTGGTGAGTCTGTGGGTGAGTGGTGAGTCTGTGGGTGAGTCTGCAGGTGAGTGGCGAGTCTGTGGGTGAGTGCTGAGTCTGTGGGTGAGTGGTGAGTCTGTGGGTGAGTGGTGAGTCTGTGGGTGAGTGTTGAGTCTGTGGGTGAGTGTTGAGTCTGTGGGTGAGTGGTGAGTCTGTGGGTGAGTGGTGAGTCTGTGGGTGAGTGGTGAGTCTGTGGGTGAGCACTGAGTCTGTGGGTGAGCGGTGAGTCTGTGGGTGAGTGGTGAGTCTGTGGGTGAGTGCTGAGTCTGTGGGTAAGTGGTGAGTCTGCGGGTGAGTGCCGAGTCTTTGGGCGAGTGCTGAGTCTGTGGGTGAGTGCCGAGTCTGTGGGTGAGTGGTGAGTCTGTGGGTGAGTGGTGAGTCTGTGGGTGAGTGGTGAGTCTGTGGGTGAGTGGTGAGTCTGTGGGTGAGCACTGAGTCTGTGGGTGAGTGATGAGTCTGTGGGTGAGTGTTGAGTCTGTGGGTGAGCACTGAGTCTGTGGGTGAGCGGTGAGTCTGTGGGTGAGCGGTGAGTCTGTGGGTGAGCGGTGAGTCTGTGGGTGAGCGGTGAGTTAGTGGGTGAGTGGTGGGTCTGTGGGTGAGTGGTGGGTCTGTGGGTGAGTGGTGAGTCTCTGGGTGAGTGGTGAGTCTGTGGGTGAGTGGTGAGTCTGTGGGTGAGTGTGTGGGTGAGTGCTGAGTCTGTGGGTGAGTGGTGAGTCTGTGGGTGAGTGGTGAGTCTGTGGGTGAGTGTATGGGTGAGTGCCGAGTCTGTGGGTGAGTGGTGAGTCTGTGGGTGAGTGGTGAGTCTCTGGGTGAGTGGTGAGTCTGTGGGTGAGTGGTGAGTCTGTGGGTGAGTGTGTGGGTGAGTGCCGAGTCTGTGGGTGAGTGGTGAGTCTGTGGGTGAGTGGTGAGTCTGTGGGTGAGTGTATGGGTGAGTGCCGAGTCTGTGGGTGAGTGGTGAGTCTGTGGGCGAGTGGCGAGTCTGTGGGTGAGCGCTGAGTCTGTGGGTGAGTGGTGAGTCTGTGGGTGAGTGGTGAGTCTGTGGGTAAGTGGTGAGTCTGTGGGTGAGTGGTGAGTCTGTGGGTGAGTGGTGAGTATGTGGGTGATTGGTGAGTCTGTGGGTGAGTGCTGAGTCTGTGGGTGAGTGCTGAGTCTGTGGGTGAGTGGTGAGTCTGTGGGTGAGTCTGTGTGTGAGTCTGTGGGTAAGTGCCGAGTCTGTGGGTGAGCGCTGAGTCTGTGGGTCAGTTTGTGGGCGAGTGGTGAGTCTGTGGGTGAGCGCTGAGTCTGTGGGTGAGCGGTGAGTCTGTGGGTGAGTGCTGAGTCTGTGGGTGAGTGGTGAGTCTGTGGGTGAGTGCTGAGTCTGTGGGTGAGTGCTGAGTCTGTGGGTGAGTGGTGAGTCTGTGGGTGAGTGGTGCGTCTGTCGGTGAGTGGTGAGTCTGTGGGTGAGTTTGTGGGCGAGTGGTGAGTCTGTGGGTGAGTGGTGAGTCTGTGGGTGAGTGCTGAGTCTGTGGGTGAGTGGTGAGTCTGTGGGTGATTGGTGCGTCTGTCGGTGAGTGGTGAGTCTGTGGGTGAGTTTGTGGGCGAGTGGTGAGTCTGTGGGCGAGTGGTGAGTCTGTGGGTAAGTGCCGAGTCTGTGGGTGAGTGCTGAGTCTGTGGGTCAGTTTGTGGGCGAGTGGTGAGTCTGTGGGTGAGCGCTGAGTCTGTGGGTGAGCGGTGAGTCTGTGGGTGAGTGCTGAGTCTGTGGGTGAGTGGTGAGTCTGTGGGTGAGTGCTGAGTCTGTGGGTGAGTGGTGAGTCTGTGGGTGAGTGGTGAGTCTGTGGGTGATTGGTGCGTCTGTCGGTGAGTGGTGAGTCTGTGGGTGAGTTTGTGGGCGAGTGGTGAGTCTGTGGGTGAGTGGTGAGTCTGTGGGTGAGTGCTGAGTCTGTGGGTGAGTGGCGAGTCTGTGGGTGAGTGGCGAGTCTGTGGGTGAGTGGTGAGTCTGTGGGTGAGTGCTGAGTCTGTGGGTGAGTGGTGAGTCTGTGGGTGAGTGGTGAGTCTGTGGGTGAGTGGTGAGTCTGTGGGTGAGCGCTGAGTCTGTGGGTGAGTGCTGAGTCTGTGGGTGAGTGGTGAGTCTGTGGGTGAGTGGTGAGTCTGTCGGTAAGTGGTGAGTCTGTCGGTAAGTGGTAAGTCTGTGGGTGAGTGGTGAGTCTGTGGGTGAGTCTGTGGGTGAGTGCCGAGTCTGTGGTGAGTGGTGAGTCTGTGGGTGAGTGGTGAGTCTGTGGGTGAGTGGTGAGTTTGTGGGCGAGTGGTGAGTCTGTGGGTGAGTGCCGAGTCTGTGGTGAGTGGTGAGTCTGTGGGTGAGTGGTGAGTCTGTGGGTGAGTGGTGAGTCTGTGGGTGAGTGGTGAGTCTGTGGGTGAGTGGTGAGTCTGTGGTGAGTGCTGAGTCTGTGGGTGAGTCTGTGGGTGAGTGGCGAGTCTGTGGGTGAGTGGTGAGTCTGTGGGTGAGTGCTGAGTCTGTGGGTGAGTGGTGAGTCTGTGGGTGAGTGGTGAGTCTGTGGGTGAGTGGTGAGTCTGTGGGTGAGCGCTGAGTCTGTGGGTGAGTGCTGAGTCTGTGGGTGAGTGGTGAGTCTGTGGGTGAGTGGTGAGTCTGTCGGTAAGTGGTGAGTCTGTCGGTAAGTGGTAAGTCTGTGGGTGAGTGGTGAGTCTGTGGGTGAGTCTGTGGGTGAGTGCCGAGTCTGTGGTGAGTGGTGAGCCTGTGGGTGAGTGGTGAGTCTGTGGGTGAGTGGTGAGTCTGTGGGTGAGTGCCGAGTCTGTGGTGAGTGGTGAGTCTGTGGGTGAGTGGTGAGTCTGTGGGTGAGTGGTGAGTCTGTGGGTGAGTGGTGAGTCTGTGGGTGAGTGGTGAGTCTGTGGTGAGTGCTGAGTCTGTGGGTGAGTCTGTGGGTGAGTGGTGAGTCTGTGGGTGAGTGGTGAGTCTGTGGGTGAGTGGTGCGTCTGTGGGTGAGTCTGTGGGTGAGTGCCGAGTCTGTGGTGAGTGGTGAGTCTGTGTGTGAGTGGTGAGTCTGTGGGTGAGTGGTGAGTCTGTGGGTGAGTGGTGAGTCTGTGGGTGAGTCTGTGGGTGAGTGCCGAGTCTGTGGTGAGTGGTGAGTCTGTGTGTGAGTGGTGAGTCTGTGGGTGAGTGGTGAGTCTATGGTGAGTGGTGAGTCTGTGGGTGAGTGGTGAGTCTGTGGGTGAGTGGTGAGTCTGTGGGTGAGTGGTGAGTCTGTGGGTGAGTGGTGAGTCTATGGTGAGTGGTGAGTCTGTGGGTGAGTGGTGAGTCTGTGGTGAGTGGTGAGTCTGTGGGTCAGTGCTGAGTCTGTGGTGAGTGGTGAGTCTGTGGGTGAGTGGTGAGTCTATGGTGAGTGGTGAGTCTGTGTGTGAGTGGTGAGTCTGTGGGTGAGTGGTGAGTCTGTGGGTGAGTGGTGAGTCTGTGGGTGAGTGGTGAGTCTGTGGTGAGTGGTGAGTCTGTGGGTGAGTGGTGAGTCTATGGTGAGTGGTGAGTCTGTGGGTGAGTGGTGAGTCTGTGGTGAGTGGTGAGTCTGTGGGTGAGTGGTGAGTCTGTGGTGAGTGGTGAGTCTGTGGGTGAGTGCTGAGTCTGTGGTGAGTGGTGAGTCTGTGGGTGAGTGCTGAGTCTGTGGCACTCTGCAGTGGATTCAACACAAACCGAGAAAGAGGTGCAGCCGGCTCCAACGTCCGCCCAACGTTCCGAGGGTCGACTTTGCTCCTTTTAATTCTGACAAACACAAAGACAGACGGGCGTATCGAGAGAGTCAACGCGAGGCCGGCGAATCGCGTTGAGGAGCAATTCCCCCGGGGTCGGATCGTGGCCGTGGAAATTCGGCAGCAGCTGGGCAACACCGCACGGCGATTCCCGACGACGTCGGAGATTTGTTTGCGAAGTTAGAGCGCTCAAAGACGATTTTGGCAAAAACAACTCTAATATGGGTGATTTCGCTTATTTTCTGACCCAACAAAAAAAACACCGCCTGCAAGCCACGTCTCACTTTGACGCGTCTCTTCCTTCGTCGCTCTCTCTTCCTTCGTCTCTCTCTTCCCCTCCTTCCTTCTCCTTCGACCGCCGCTGCCGCGTTTGTTCCTTCCTCCTCCTTCCTCTCCTTCCGTTCTGTTCGTTCCCCCACTTTTCGCTCCGCTCTGCCAGCCACAATCCGGTTGTTGACTTCGGAGAGAGGAAGGTGATGTCGCCATCTTGGATAGGAGGAAGATTGTCGTGATCTTCCTCTCTCCCCCTACCCAAGATGGCGACGGCTCCGTCTTTACCTCTCCCTAACCAAGATGGCGACATCTTCCTCTCTCCCACCCAACATGGCGGCCTCAACATCTTCACCCCTATCCAAGATGGCTATGATATGACGTCATTTCCGCTGGACGCCACCCGACCTCACTCCTCCATTGCGAACTTGGACCGAAACTTACGACAGACCTCAACCTTCTATCTTGGCCAGGGGTACCCCCCCCCCCTTTTCTCACTGCAATACGGGTCACCATCTTACGAAGGGGTGGGCAACCCCACGTGACCGGTAGCTACGTCAACAACCGGATTAACCTCACCACCATCCTCACCCCACCTCTCTTTTGTTAACGTGTACCGAAAACTACGGCATACTTCAGCCTTCCGCCCCTTCCCTCACAATACGGGGGGGTCGCCATCTTACGTAGGGGATGGATATCCACCACGTGACCGGACCCTAACGTCACCAACTGGATTAACTCCGCCCCCATCTCACGTCACTTTTGTAACGTTTACCGGAAGCTACGTCAAAGGTCAACCTTCCGCCATCTTGGTCAGGGGTACCCCACCACTCGTTACAATGCGGGGGGGGGGGGGGGGGTCGCCATCTCCCCCTCACCTCCTCACCCTCTTTCGGCGGCCATTGTTGTTTCCTTTGTGGCTTGCGGAGCGGAGCGAAAAGTGGGAGAACGAACAGAACGGAAGGAGAGGAAGAAGGAGGCGGAAGGAACAAAAGTGGCAGCGGCGGTCGAAGGAGGCGGAAGGAGGGGATGAGAGAGAGCGACGAAGGGAGAGAGAGAGACGCGTCAAAGTGAGAGGCGGCTTGCAAGCGGTGTTTTTTTTGTTGGGTCAGAAAATAAGCGTAATCACCCATAAGAGTTGTTTTGGGTTAGATCGCGTAAATATATAAATGTGTCGTGAAAACCCGCCACCACCCCGACACAGCCAACTAGTAAGGGTTGTCACGTAAACAACGTGGCCAATTCGTCACCAGTACACCACTAGTGTATAGTAGTGTAGTGTATAGTGTAGTGTACTAGTACAGCACTAGTGTATAGTAGTGTATAGTGTAGTGTACGAGTACAGCACTAGTGTATAGTAGTGTAGTGTATATTGTAGTGTACTAGTACAGCACTAGTGTATAGTAGTGTAGTGTACTAGTACAGCACTAGTGTATAGTAGTGTAGTGTATAGTGTAGTGTACTAGTACAGCACTAGTGTATAGTAGTGTAGTGTATAGTGTAGTGTACTAGTACAGCACTAGTGTATAGTAGTGTAGTGTATATTGTAGTGTACTAGTACAGCACTAGTGTATAGTGTAGTGTACTAGTACAGCACTAGTGTATAGCAGTGTGTAGTGTAGTGTACTAGTACAGCACTAGTGTATAGTAGTGTAGTGTATAGTGTAGTGTACTAGTACAGCACTAGTGTATAGTAGTGTAGTGTATATTGTAGTGTACTAGTACAGCACTAGTGTATAGTGTAGTGTACTAGTACAGCACTAGTGTATAGTAGTGTAGTGTATATCGTAGTGTACTAGTACAGCACTAGTGTATAGTGTAGTGTACTAATACAGCACTAGTGTATAGCAGTGTGTAGTGTAGTGTACTAGTACAGCACTAGTGTATAGTGTAGTGTACTAGTACAGCACTAGTGTATAGTGTAGTGTATATTGTAGTGTACTAGTACAGCACTAGTGTATAGTGTAGTGTGTAGTGTATATTGTAGTGTACTAGTACAGCACACTGGTTGTGTGTTGGAGAGCCAAGCCACAACATTTACAATCTTGAATACGGCGTTTCGCCAGTAATTACAACCAACTTCATCAGTGAAGCGAGTTGTAATTACGTGACAACCCTTACTAGTTGGGTGGTGGCGAGTTTTAACTACACATTTATATATTTACGCGATCTAACCCAAAACACCTCTATTATGGATATTGGTCGCGTAAGTCTACGTGTTCAAGGGTAATCAGAGTCGATGCGTTTTGAACGTTCGCCCGACGTCCGTCTTGTACCGGATCGCGACGTTCAGATGACGCTGGGGAAGTGGCTTCGATTCGCGTTGATCACCGGTGCGTCGTTTTTGTTGTTGTGCCAAAATAAGGGTAATCGCCTTAAACCCCCGATAGGTGACTCGTTTTAAACGCTCACCGACGCGAGACGGGGCTCGACTTGTTCCTCGTCTTGTGCCGAATCTTCCGCGGTGCAGGATCCGATGCTGGGAATCGGCTTCGATTCGCGTTTCCAGCGAGCGCGTTCCGACCGTCTCGCGTTAATCCGACGGTGCGGTGCGGTTTTTATTTTTGCCAAAATAAGGATACTCGCCTTTGAGCGCTCTAGCTTCGCAAACAAATCTCCGACGTCGTCGGGAATCGCCGTGCGGTGTTGCCCAGCTGCTGCCGAATTTCCACGGCCAAGATCCGACCCCGGGGGAATTGCTCCTCAACGCGAATCGCCGGCCTCGCGTTGACTCTCTCGATACGCCCGTCTGTCTTTGTGTTTGTTAGAATTAAAAGGAGCAAAGTCGACCCTCGGAACGTTGGGCGGACGTTGGAGCCGGCTGCACCTCTTTCTCGGTTTGTGTTGAATCCACGGCAGTGCCACAGACTCAGCACTCACCCACAGACTCACCACTCACCCACAGACTCACCACTCACCCACAGAATCAGCGCTCACCCACAGACTCACCACTCACCCACAGACTCACCACTCACCCACAGACTCAACACTCACCCACAGACTCAGCGCTCACCCACAGACTCACCACTCACCCACAAACTCAGCGCTCACCCACAGACTCACCACACACCCACAGACTCACCACACACCCACAGACTCACCACTCACCCACAGACTCACCCACAGACTCACCACTCACCCACAGACTCACCACTCACCCACAAACTCACCACTCACCCACAGAATCAGCGCTCACCCACAGACTCACCACTCGCCTACAGACTCACCACACACCCACAGACTCACCACTCACCCACGGACTCACCATACACCCACAGACTCTGCACTCATCCACAGACTCAGCACTCACCCACAGACTCGGCACTCACCCACAGACTCACCACTCACCCACAAACTCGGCATTCACCCACAGACTCAGCACTCACCCACAGACTCAGTACTCACCCAAAACGTCTTACTCAGATTGTAAATGTTGTGGCTTGGCTCTCCAACACATCGGTGTGCTGTACTAGTGACGAATTGGCATGTTTTGTTTACGTGACAACCCTTACTAGTTGGGTGTGTCGGGTTTTAACGACACATTTAGAAATTTACGCAATCTAATCCAAAAACCTCTTATGAAGTGAGGAATATATGGAAAAGAAGACTTTTCCTTTTGGCTGCAGAGTAGGCACCTGGTTGCAGCCATTGTAGTGCTGTTTGCAAGCTGCCTTGGTTGTCGGTGGACTTGAGTTTTATTAGCTGTGGCAGCATTCATTTGTGCTGTGTTAGTTTTCTGTGTAGCTTATTGCTGTTGAGTTGCATTCACTCTAGGTGCAGGCATAGCAGTACTGGTCGCATGCCGTCCTGCTTCTTTGTGTTCAGTAGTGTCATTATCAATAGGTGCAGCCATCGCAACATTGTCTTGGAGATTCATTAGCTTTATGTGCAGCACAGGCGGCATGCCGTCTCACTTGTTTGTGTTCAGGAGCTCTAATTGCAGCCATTGCAGCATTTGTACGAATGGCATCAATTATTGTAATCGGCTTCGGTGAAGACAAGCGCACGGTTTCCGCAAGGAACATAGTTGGAGATCAAAGTTAATAAGCAGAAAAGAGTAAATAGAACTGGTTTTTATCAAAAATGCGTCTGAAATAAATGTAGTCCAACTTTACTTATTTTGGGTCATTGAGAATTAAAATGATTCTTAAAATTGTTGTTTGGCTCTAGTATTCAAGATATGCTAATCATTCCAGCACATACGACCCTTGACTTTGGGAATGGCAGAGGATGTGTGAGTTACAAAGAGAATGTTATTCATTTTAAACTAGAAATTACTAAAATAAATCTTTGAATGCATCTATGAATAAATCTATAACTGGGTTTGGACTGTACTTGCTTGATATGAAGCTTTCGTGACTGCTGGAATTCATACTCTTTAGTTCTTTCGGTAAAGTCACGTAGGTATAACATAAAATGAAATAAATCACGTTTCTGGCGCAACACAAGCGTCCATCATCAGGTGGGAAAGCAGGGTCTGCAGCTGAGGCCGACTGTTTTAAAAAAGGTTTGAAATGCGGAGACAACCTTCTGAGGATCCAACCAAAACCATCACTTTACCGTACATAGCAGGGGTTACCAAACAAACACAAGATCCAGGTTCATTTCAATACAGTACACAAAATCCATGATATAATCCCATCTGTAAAAGATGTGATTCCTGACATGCAATACTCTGGTGTTTACAAACTGAGCTGTGGTTGCGGCAGCAGTTACATTGGGGAAACGAAACGACATGTCTTGGACCGCGTCCGTGAACGCAAGTCAGATCTGAAACATGGTAGGACCAATACTTCTGACGTTGCCGATCATTGTTTTAACACTGTGGGCTCGCATGAAATTGATTTTTCCAAGACGGAGGTACTCTGCAAACCTACCGGCTACCTTCAGAGATTTGTTCACGAAGCCATCCAGATATATAAACACAGACACAACTTCAACCGGGAAGATGGGTACAAACTGAGCAATCATTGGAAGGACGTTATTAACCAGGTGAAGTCTTAACTGACTGATGTTTCCATCTAACCTGCATATGTCAGTTGTTATTTCCACTCTGTCTCTCTCTCTCTTAGATCTCTCATTCTGACATGTCTGTTGCATTGCACTCTGATGCCTTTGGATTGCACTCTCATGCTCGCATGTCTGTTGCATTGCACTTTCATACTCGCAGGCCTTTCAGATTACACCCGTTGGGTTGCACTCCCTCGTCGAGGAGGCCGCTCTTCTTCTTTTCTACAGTTACATGCTAATTTCTCAAATTAACATCATGCTAATCTCTCACATTAACATAGCCACTTCCGTGCCCTCTAATTTCTCACATTAGCATCATGCTGATCCCTCACATTAACATAGCCACTTCCGTGCGCTCATCAAGGAGGCCGCTCTCCTATCTTACAGTTACATGCTAATTTCTCACATTAACATCACTAGCCCCGGCCACTTCTTTATAACCCTTGAGCTCCACCCATTTCAAACCTTTTTTTAAGCAGTCTGCCTCAGCAGCAGACCCTGCTTTCTCACCTATGTGACTTTACCTAAAGAACCAGAGTACAGTACTTGCTTTTTGAACAAAACAATGAATGATGTGATCTGAACCTGGTATTGCTTTATACATGATATGAATTGCATCATGTTATTCTTATAAGTCATGGATAATGCAATCATAACTAGGCTTACATCACTACTGAACAAGTTGCCCTATATCAGCTCTAGAAATCATGCAGTGTCGTGCTCTCTTATTTTTCAATATTTGATTTAGCAAAGGGACACATTTCTTTCTGTTTTGCCAAAGTGAGCAGAGATGCCTCGTACTTGTGTAAACAAAGCAGATAATTTCTGCTATGTTTGTGGTGAAGTGACTTTTTGGAGATCAGGACAAGATGTGGGCCCCACACATTTTGCAACACTTGTGCAACAAATCTTTCCCAATGGTTGAACAGGAAAAGGAAATCTATGCCTTTAGCAGTGCTAATGATTTGGAGAGAGCCAATAGATCATATCAGCAATTGTTACTTCTGCATGGCGCCTCCAGTTGGGAAAGGTGTGTCAAAAAATACGCCCAGTACCCCACGGAGGAGGACTGCCGGTTCCTGATGCACCAGAATCATTCTCACTTGAGTCAGGCGAGGAAGAGGATGAAACTTCTGGTCCTGGACCATCAAGGTCACATGACCCAAATTTTCTCTCATCCTCCTCTGAACCATACCTCATAGCACAAGGTGAACTGAAAGACATTTTGAGGGATATGGAACTACCCAAGAGTAAAGCAGAGCTGTTGGGACTCCAGACTGCAGCAATGAAATCTGGTGATGTTTAGGCTCCATGTTCGTAACCGTCAAAAGGATATTGTCCCATTCTTCTTCATGGAAGGTGACCTTGTTGCCTGCAACAACATCGATGGTGTGATGGCAGCCCTCAACATCGTTCATGATCCAGATGAGTGGAGACTGTTAATTGATTCATCGAAGATGAATCTTAAAGCTGTTTTACTGCATAATGGAAATGTTTCGCCATCAATTTCAGTTCGTCATGCAGTCCATATGAAGGAAAGCTATGACAACATGAAACTACTTTTGAGGTGCATAAACTATGACCAACATCAGTGGCAGCTTTGTGGTGATTTGAAGGTTGTTGCTCTCTTGTTTGGTCTACAGACTGGATACATGAAGTACTGCTGTTTTCTCTGAGAATGGGATAGTCATGTGAGAAATTCCCACTACATTGGAGCCTGGGAGGAAAGGTGTTTAGCATCCACCACTTGTTGAATCAAGGAAGATGTTGTTACCACCCGTACACATCAAGCTGGGTCTGATGAAGAACTTTGTCAAAGCCACGGACAAAACACATCTAAAATATTGAAGACCAGTGTACTGAGTGTGTGAGTAAATGCTATATAGAGATTGTTAATTAAATGCGAGTTAAATGTATAATCGTTGTAGGAATGTGAAGACATAGCCACAAAGGAACGAAGTGTAAAGCTGTAAGTTGTTGGAGGGAGTAATTATTTGTAGTGCTTGAAGTGGGTATGAATAGAATGCGTATGGTGGTGTGTACATATTTTATTATTTTAAAGCAAGTGTGTGCATGCTTTTTTATTCGTTAATAGGCAATGTATAATTGATGTATTTAGTCGTAGCTGTTGTATAGCGTCTGTGTTGTGTAGAAGGTCGTTGATGATTTTTATGATTTTGGGCAGGCCTGTCTAAAGCAGCATGATCAGGAGTCAAAGCCTTTTCTTGTTCAACTTGGCTTGTGACAGGAATTCACTCTGGCCTCATGCATTACATTACATAGCATCGTCCATAATTATGTAGTTTATGAGAAGCTCACAATGGCCATATAAATAAATTGCATTCATTACGGTTGCAATGATACGCTAATCGATGCATAGTTATAGTTAAGGGGTCAATCCCTGTTTGTCAACCATGTTAGATATACTGATTATCTGGTAATGGCTACACAATCAGATGGAGTTAGGGAATCTTGTTCTGTGCCTGGTTAATTCCATCATTAAATAGGGCCTTGCATATGTTCCACAAAAATAAATCGTCTGCCTAAGAATTTCATGTCATACAACATTGCACTTAAATTTCGATTTAAAGCTTTCGTGACTGCAGGGATTCATCTTCTTGGTTCTTTCGGTAAAGTCACGTAGAAGGGAAGTAATAAAATAATAAAAATAAAACATAATAAAACAATTCTCACGACGTTTCGGCCACAACGCAAGCAGCCGTCCTCAGGTGAAAACCAGGTCCGTCGAGGCGACAGAGTCTGAATGAAACAGCACACGAGCTTGGTGCATATATATAAGCTGGGCGCATTGACAAAGGAATTTGCATATCAAAAGGAATTTAGCATATTTATGGGAAATGCAGGAATGTGATTAGTACTGCATATGCATGTGCATTATGCAGGATTAACAGCATCAAAGGGAGCTGCAGTTACTGCTGCTGCAGCAGTTGCTGCTGCTGCTGCAGTTTCTGCTGCTGCTGCAGTTGCTGCTGCTGCTGCAGTTGCTGCTGCTGCTGCACTTGCTGCTGCTGCTGCACTTGCTGCTGCTGCTGCTGCTGCACTTGCTGCTGCTGCAGTTGCTGCCTTATCCATTTTAATATAACACTATGTATTATTCTACCCACCCTAATGTGTATCATACTGCTATATGTTTACTGTACAATTACGACACCATACATTACTCTGCACACTGCACCATGCCAGTGAGTGGAACGTGGTCTGAAAGTCACCGTAAACGTGAACACAATCAGTTAAGATCCGAAATGGTTTATTACGTCCTTCCAATGATTGCTAAGCCAGAATCCATCTTCTCGGTTGAAATTGTCTCTGTGTTTGTATATGTGGATCGCCTCGTGAACGAATCTCTCATGATAGCCAGATGGCTTGCAGAGAACCTCTGTCTTGGAGAAGTCCATGTCATGTGAGCCCACTGAATTGTAACAGTGATCTGCCACGGCTGAGGTGTTTGTCCTACCGTGTTTCAGGTCTGCCTTATGTTCACGGATGCGGTCCGGTAGGACAAACACCTCAGCCGTGGCAGATCACTGTTACAATTCAGTGGGCTCACATGACATTGACTTCTCCAAGACAGAGGTTCTCTGCAAGCCATCTGGCTATCATGAGAGATTCGTTCATGAGGCGATCCACATATACAAACACAGAGACAATTTCAACCGAGAAGATGGATTCTGGCTTAGCAATCATTGGAAGGACGTAATAAACCATTTCGGATCTTAACTGATTGTGTTCACGTTTACGGTGACTTTCAGACCACGTTCCACTCACTGGCATGGTGCAGTGTGCAGAGTAATGTATGGTGTCGTAATTGTACAGTAAACATATAGCAGTATGATACACATTAGGGTGGGTAGAATAATACATAGTGTTATATTAAAATGGATAAGGCAGCAACTGCAGCAGCAGCAAGTGCAGCAGCAGCAGCAGCAAGTGCAGCAGCAGCAGCAGCAAGTGCAGCAGCAGCAGCAAGTGCAGCAGCAGCAGCAACTGCAGCAGCAACTGCAGCAGCAGCAGAAACTGCAGCAGCAGCAGCAACTGCTGCAGCAGCAGTAACTGCAGCTCCCTTTGATGCTGTTAATCCTGCATAATGCACATGCATATGCAGTACTAATCACATTCCTGCATTTCCCATAAATATGCTAAATTCCTTTTGATATGCAAATTCCTTTGTCAATGCGCCCAGCTTATATATATGCACCAAGCTCGTGTGCTGTTTCATTCAGACTCTGTCGCCTCGACGGACCTGGTTTTCACCTGAGGACGGCTGCTTGCGTTGTGGCCGAAACGTCGTGAGAATTGTTTTATTATGTTTTATTATTTTATTACTTCCCTTCTACGTGACTTTACCGAAAGAACCAAGAACATTGCACTTGCTCAACTCTCCATGAATAATCAGGCAGTTCTGCAAATGTTGGAGGAGCTCCCATACCTGGTTAATGTGTTCACGACCAGCTCTTCAAATTAATCGAGCAGCATTGTTTAATTAGACTGTGTAACACTGTGTGGAAGCTGTGAATATCAGTTGCCAAGGTCAAGTCCGTCTGAAACCATCCCTCTCCCTGCCAGACTAGCATCGCACCCGTCCCTCACCCTTCATCCTGCGGTTGGTGGGCAGACAGGACAGCACCACGTAGCCATTCATGCCTGGACCCGACTGGGTTACGTGGGTCACCCAGCCACCAGGTGCTTGTTGGCGAACACCACCCCAGGCCTCGTTCCAGGGGTGATATCAGTATAGAATATCTGAAAGGCTGCCCCCAATAAATGCCACCTCGAACTCCACTAGGCCCGTCCCACTGGGGGAAGATTGCGGGGGCGGCCCAGGACACGCTGGTGGGACTGTAGCTCGTTTGGCCTGGGAATTCCCCAGGAAGAGCTAGAGTCTGTCGCCAGGGAAAGGGAGGTCTGGACTGCCCTACTGAATGTGCTGCTGCCTCAATCCTTCCCAGGACAAGCGGATTTAGAAACGAACGAACAAAGCTGCGAGTCGTTTTGGCCACAGATATTACTCTTTTCTCTGTGGATGCAAAATATGAACTTATTTAAAGGCCTGCCTATGATCCCTCTTCTATTGAACCAGACAAGATTGTATGAGTACCTTACAGATCCCTGAAATATGAGTACAGAATATAATCAGTGAGTCTCTTTGGCAAGCAAGCCTGCATTGGTTGGGTCATGAATCCTGCATACTCCGACACCGCATGGTCAAGCTGCTTCTGTTAATGCAGATATTAGGTGCTAAGCAGGCATGGCATTGGCTAGAGAAGAAATTGGAGGATGTAGAGGTGATCAGACCTGCTGATGACTTTACCAGGAGTGTCAAGATCAGCCTCTGTGGAGGAGGCCCCTGAGGTATGCTGCTAGGCAGTTGGGGGTATTTGCTGTGCAACAACAATGAAGTCGGAGTAGTGACGCTCACATGATTGGGTGTAACTGGGTGCCTTTAATGCAGAAAGACCGTGGGAACTACAGATCTGTCAATTATCTCAGTCGGTTATCCTATGACACCTGGATAATTCCCATGATCTGCTGACAAGTGATCCACACATAGCATTAAATTTCACCTATCATGGCATGAGCACTGTGACAAGGTTACTTCAAAATAGTGATGAATGCTCACTGTTTTGTTTTTTCTTATATTGATCCATCTGAAATGTATGTGTAAGAGTTATCTATGTGGGGAGTGGTGGCGCAGTTATTTCACTGCATTATGAACTCAACAATTAGAGTTTGATTATCACCAACAGCAAACATGATTGATAAGTGAAAACTTAACTTATTATGGACCTCTGCTATGTTGATTGATCCTCAATTACATGGTTAAGTGAGGAAGCATTAATACTGAGCAGATGAAGGCAGCCAGGCATGGTTCTGGACACACCACCACCTTTTTACCATGCCAGTGTATGACAGTAACGTTTGTATATGCAGTAAAGTATATTGACTCTTGAACACGGAGGTTAATTCAAAACAATAGTTTATTTTGTTTTCCTCTGGAAATGTTTATAAGAATGAAATTGGTCAGGAAATTAACATAGCACATATGCAGCTAAAGCTAGATATGTTTATCCGAGCATTCAATCAAATGTGAGCCTGGCTTCACACCTCTAAGTTACGATTGAACATTAATTTATGCATTTCTGCATAACACAAATAATATAATTTTCAACACCCTTTGCTATGTTAGCTGAATTTTGCTTTTATAAATATTTCATTTTGTAGGCAGACAGCCGAAATTGTGCTTGGAGTTTTGGGTTAACATTCATTTTGAAGATACTCGGGTGTCTAAGCATATTTAGGACCATTTGTCCTCTCATTGTGTGCCTTAACAGCCCGTGTGATGAATTGGGGAATCTTTTTCACTATATTATGAATATATGAATAAGTATCAACGTGTAAGTCATGAGTGACTGTGTATATATGCATTCCTCTGTGCCTTGATACTGACGTAGATGTGGATATTTTTTTCTGTCTGCAGCTGACGCTTCCTCTGCAGACTTGGTCTGATGGAGCAGAGGGACTCAGCGCAGTTCGTTGCAACAAGGCCACAATGCGACCAGTATGCAAACAGCACGGATCGTTCTGGAAACTTGACACAACACCAGAGAACACACACAGGAGAGAAACCCTTCAATTGCACTCTATGCCAGAAGGCGTTTGCAGGGTCATCAGCTCTTAAGATCCACCAGAGAACACACACAGGAGAGAAACCCTTCAAGTGCAGTCTGTGCGGGAAGGCGTTTGCACAGTCACCACATTTTCAAAGACACCAGAGAACACATACAGGAGAGAAACCCTTCAAGTGCAGTCTGTGCGGGAAGGCGTTTGCACAGGCACCACATTTTCAAAGACACCAGAGAACACACACAGGAGAGAAACCCTTCACGTGCAGTGTTTGTGGGAAGGCATTTTCATGTTCATCTACTCTCAAAAAACACCAGAGAACACACACAGGAGAGAAACCCTTCAAGTGCAGTGTTTGTGGGAAGGCATTTTCAGGTTCATCTACTTTTAAAACTCACCAGAGAACACACACAGGAGAGAAACCCTTCAAGTGCACTGTGTGTGGGAAGGCGTTTTCACAGTCATTTACTGTTGTAATTCACCAGAGAAAGCACACAGGAGAGAAACCCTTCAAGTGCAGTGTTTGTGGGAAGGCATTTTCAGATTCCTCTACTCTTAAAAGTCACCAGAGAACACACACAGGAGAGAAACCCTTCAAGTGCAGTGTGTGTGGTAATGCATTTTCAGATTCATCTACTCTTAAAAATCACCAGAGAACACACACAGGAGAGACACCCTTCAAGTGCAGTGTGTGTGGGAAGGCATTTTCAGGTTTATCTACTCTTAAAAATCACCAGAGAACACACACAGGAGAGAAACCCTTCAAGTGCACTCTGTGCGGGAAAGCGTTTTCACAGTCATTTACTGTTGTATTGCACCAGAGAAAACACACAGGAGAGAAACCCTTCAAGTGCGGCATTTGTGGTAAGGCATTTTCAAATGCATTTTCTCTTAAAATACACCAGAGAACACACACAGGAGAGAAACCCTTCAAGTGCATAATGTGCGGGAAGACGTTTGCAACTTCATCAAATCGTCAAAGACACCAGAGAACATACGGGCATCAGAAGATCCCCAAGGAGTCAAGTCTGAGTCAAAGTGCTGCAATGAGCCCATCCCTTGTGAAAAAAGAACTGGAAGAAAATCCCAGTTTAGACACTTTGAAAGATATCAAGTTGAAATATGAAGAGGTCAATTATGAATTTGAAGAAGTGACAGTGAAGAGCGAAGAAGTGAAGGTTAAATATGAAGATTCAACTCCAAAATCGGACCTTCACATCGATGGAAGTAACGTGAAGCAGGAGGAAAATTCTGACTGTGAGGCAGAGCGAGGCAACTCCCAGCAGTTTGTGGAAGTGGAGGTGTGGGTGGACTTCTGAGACAAGACCAAGTCAAATGGAAACCCTGTAGATGTGCAAGCTTGAGACAATGAAGCTCCAATAGATTCAAGTTTGTCACGGGCCTTTAATTAAAGAATGTGAAGTTGAACATTAAATTCCTAGGTTCAACCTGCAGAGTAAGAGCGGTCAGTATTTATGGACCTGTGGGTTTGGTAGATCTCTAACCAGGAGCGAGAGCCAGTAAGCTCCCAAGCGTTCACTATGTGATAAATTCATTTATATGGTGCTTGCTTAATCGCCTCAGCAGCTCGGAGTTTTGTATAATAACTCATCACAAACACTCGAAGGGCATCCCCAAGTGGCAGCTGCCCCTGTGTGGGATAAGGTGGCCCTGCACCAGCCTGCATGTGGGCATGAGTTTGTCAGTAGGGGGCGATGATTGATGTGAACTCTCCATCATGTAATTTTTGGATACTATTCGGAATTACCCAAATTTTGACATTGACACCAACATGTAATGACCTATGTGTTTTGAATGACAGTATGTTTTACATCCACTGTTAAGCAGAAAGTGCATATTTTGGTTAATGTTTCTGGAGTAGGTAGGGGTGGCTATCGGATTTGAACCTTGAACCTCTGTAATAAATAGAGAATGTGCTACCACTTGGCTTCCCTCAATCTGAGTGTAGGCATTCCAACCTTAATGTTTCGAACGGACGCAGATATTCCATTGAGAGGGGTCCACGTTTCACATGCCGAAAGAAGGCAGGGCATGACTGGCTGACAAGACCCAAAGCTTTGTGCCAAGCGACAGACCAGGTAGCTTCCACACAGCATTGCGCAGCTGATAAAAAATTAACCCGTAAAAACAAAGTTTTTCACTATAAATCCTTTATATGCGTGGCATCGGTTTTATTTTATTATTCATTTCTGTTTTTATTGAGTAATAGTTTCATTTTTATCACATTGGTATTTTAAATTAAATATGAAAAAAAAATTCCATAAAAAGTGCAAAGTTTTGGAAAAAAAATTTCACGAAAATAAATTGTCACGCATAACGAGTCTGTGTGCAAAATGTCAGCTCGATTGGATCATGGGAAGTGGGTTAAAAAACGACCGAAAGATTTGCACAGTCGTAAGCGCGCAAGCAAGCAAGTGAACTTAATATAAAGGATTTTAAAAGAGAATGCTGCCCGACTGATTCGGATCACCCATGTACTGTCGACATGTATTATGTACCCACAATGTACACATACAATGTACATACAGCATAAACACACAGTCTGCACATACACATAGTGTATACATATGTAGTTGCATAACACTGGCTGCAGACAGAAAAGGGGATTTGCGGCATGCGGCAGTCCTGACGTTAGCAGGCCAGGATATACACGAGAGGGGGATCTAAGGGAAAGGTCACAGAAGGGGCACACCAGGAATCCGCTAGGAGGTTCCAGTCAGTAAGGGGGCCTGGCCGGGACAGCGAGGCTACGCTGACCGTATAAGAGGGGCCTCTGTGGGGGAGCTCGGGCTGTTGGAGTGAGATGCCTGTCGTGCTGCTGAAGTCCATCGTCGCCATTCTTCTCGTCTTCGCCATTCTTCTCGTCATCGTCTCCGTCTCTACCATCTCGGGGCGCCGCTAGTCAGACAGCCTACCAACTGTCCTGGTTGAGTAGCGTCACCGATAAGACGGATTAAATATTAAGTTTTAACCCCGATGGTGCTCGTTAATAAAGAAGTGCCTCCAAGTCTTATCGTCTCCGAGTTAGTCACTACACATACACATTAACAAGAACAACAACTGCAATTCGCCACTAAGTGGCAGTGACGTCACCACGGTGCTTGTGCAAGGCTATATGCACGTTAAGGCCACGTAAAGTGTCGAACATCCGCCGGCAGGAGGTCACGGGGCAGACCCAGGTGCCATGGGTCGACTGACTGAGATGACTGGCAAATGCACCACCTGTGCCCCCTACTGTGGCAACACTACACACACGGTGTGTATACACACATATTAGTTGTTTTTTCGATAACGTCACGTAGATAGAAAAAATAATAAAAATGATATTAAGTGAATAAAAAATACCACGACGTTGCGATCGCGACACAAGCTGTCGTCATGAGGAAAAAGGGGTTCGCCTCTAAAGGCAAACTTTTTTTAGGGTTTGGAGATGCACATAGCCCAAGTGTATCAGCAGCACCAGGAGTACAGGAGAGAAACCCTTCAAGTGCACTCTGTGCGGGAAGGCGTTTGCACAGTCAACACATCTTCAAAGACACCAGAGAACACAAGCATCAAAAGATCCACAAGGAGTGGAGTCTGAAATCTTCTTGTGAAAGTTAAAGTGCTGCAATGAGCCCATCTCTCATGAAACAAGAACCAGAAGAAAATCCCAGCTTGGACATTATGAAAGGTATCAAGGTAAAATAGGAAAATGCGAAGGTGAAGTGTGAATAAGTGACAGTGAAGAGCAAAGAAGTGAAGGTAAAATGTGAAGATGAAGATTCAACTCCGAAATCAGACCTTCACATCGACGGAGGCAACGTGAAGCAGGAGGAGAATTCTGACTGATGCAGAACGAAGCAACTCCCAGCAGTTTGTGGAAGTGGAGGTGTGGGTGGACTTCTTAGACATTGCAAAGTTAAATGGAGACCCGGTAGATGTGTAAGCATGAGACAATGAAGCCCCACTAGATTCACCTTTGTCACAAGCCTTTAATGCAAGAATGTTAAGTTGGAACACTCAATTCCGAGGTTCAGCCTGCAGAGTAAGAGCGGCCAGTATATTTGAACCTGTGGGTTGTGTAGATCTCTAACCAGGAGTGAGAGCCAATGAGCTCCCAAGCATTCACTATGTGATAAATGCATTTATATGGTGCTTGCTTAATTGCCTCAGCGACTCGGAGTTTTGTATCATATCTCATCACAAATACTCGAAGACCACCCCCAAGTGGCAGCTGCCCCCGTGTGGCAACAGTTGGCCCTGCACCAGCCTGCATGTAGGCATGAGTTTGTGTCGGATTTCAACCTTGAACCTTTTCAATAAATATAGATTGCACTACCACTTGGCTTCCCTCAATCTGAGTGTAGGCATTCCAGCCTTAATGTTTCGAATGGACGCAGATGTTCCGTTTAGGGAGGTCCACGTTTCACCTTCCTAGAGAAGAGAGGGCATGACTGTCCGAGAAGACCCAAAGCTTTGTGCAAAGCGACAGACCAGGTAGCTTCCACACAGCATTATGCAGCTGATGAAAGGAGAATGCCGCCCGACTGATTCGGATCACCCACACACATTGTAGACATGTATTATGTACACACAATGTACACAGTGTACCCACAAGGTATACACGCACAATGTACATACAGCGTAAACAGTGCAAATACATTGTATAAATATGTAGTGGCATAGCACTGGCTGCTGGCAGAAAAGGGGATCTGCGGCATAGGCTGTCCTGACGTGAGCAGGCCAGGATTTCCACGAGAGGGGGATCTAGAGGAAAGGTCACAGAAGGGAGCACACCAGGAATCGGCTGGTAGGTTCCAGTAAGGAGGAGTGGCCGGGGCGGAGCGAGGCCACGCAGAGAGTAAGAGGGGCCTCTTAGAGGAATCTTGGGCTGTTGTTGGAGTGAGATTCCCGTCGTGCTGCTGAAGTCCATCATCGCCAAATTTCTCGTCTTCGTCTCCGTCTACCATCTCGGGGTGCTCTAGTAAGACAGCCTACCAACTGTCCTGGCTGAGTAGTGTAAAGGAGAGCCAACACAAGGTTGCAGGGGGTTCGTCTTTTATTCCTTCATCCCCAGCCTTCTCAATCTTGTTCCCGCCAAGTTCCCCCTCTTCCCGCCTGTTCTCTCTCTTATATCTCCTCGCTTGCTCCTCCCCCTTCCCCTGTCACCGTCCCACTCCCCCTCCTTTTGGTGGGAATCCTTCCCCTGACATCCCTTACATCACCCTCCCCCCCGTCACTGTCCTCTCCCATGTCCGTACATTGCACCCTTGGCTGGTGGCCGATGTGCCCTCAGTGAGGACACGCCCCCTCAGTGAGGCCACGCCCCCCAGCGTGAGGCCACGCCCCCCTCAGTGTGTGAATCTGGCTCTGACACGAGCCATTGCCTCCCCAGCCATTGACCTCACCGCACGTCACTCGTGTATACACAACTAGCTTTACTACCCGGCTTTGCCCGGGACTTGGATTCACCACGCCCGGCCGCCTTTTTCTCCCCAGTGGCGATGTTCACACACCACACCAGTTACTCGTTTGAGGCTGAGTCGACCTAGGGGAGGCCCAGGAGCGGTTAAAATAATCGTCACCGGTGGTGGCCGTGAGCGGGAATCAAACTCGGATCGCCAAGTTCGTAGCGCAGCGCGCTAACCACTACACTAAAATGCATTACCTTTACATTACCTTTCCCTGCGCGGGTCACCATGACAGATTTGACGTCACAGCTCACTTGCCGTGCACAACATATATGCATTATTGAGCTCCCCCCCCACCAAAAAAACCACAAAAGTGTATTTTGATAATTTTTGCATGGTGTACAGTCTGGAAAGTACCCACATGGGAAATTTCAAGTTTGTTGCATGTCGGGAAGTACGCTAAACATTTTGAACAGACACACATTCACAACTTTGCCTTTTATATATATGGAGATAATGTTCGCGTTGTTGAGCTCATGCGCCCATAAGAGTTTCTCTTCAAGAGTGGGAGCAATGGAAAAGAAATCTAAATAAACAAACTCTCACCACTCCGCATTACCTCGTAGGCGTGAGACGCCAGGGGGAGGTGTACCCCGCTAGTGACGTCTAGTCACCAAGGTTTTCAACCCACCCCCCTCCACCGCATTCTTCAAGTGTAACGTCACGTCTGGTTCGTCATTTGCCGATTTCCGTTCCCATAAAATCCTCCACAATAAAGGTTTTTTGGGTTAAAATCCTTGTGGGCAAAGCAACGGCCAGGCACTTAACATAATATATTCATAAAAACCGTCGCGAGTTCATTGCGACGGGTTCAGCAGCCACGCCCCATCACTCAACATGGGCTCGACTCATTAACATAATTTATTCACTTACACAGCCGTTCATTGGGGTGTTTTACCCCGCAAGTGACGTCATGTCACCTCCTGCTGCCGCGTGACGTCACGAGATACCAGGAAGCTGCCTGGACTCGCGCGCACTCACTGAGATCCGAGGTGAGAAGTTCACATCGTTGCTGTGGTTGTTGTGGTGGTTGTTGTTGTTTACCCAGGTAGAGCCTCGCTCCTTCTCCCCCTTGTAGGGATATCAATTGAGTAGCAGCGAGTATGGAATCGATGGCCTCCTGCCCTCGCCTGATTGCATTTGCTTTAATTCTCTGCTTAAGTTTAATTTGTCTTCACCTGGCTCACTACAGTTTTCTATTTTGCCAAGCCCACTTGAGCTTATCAACGTGTGGAAATGTGTATCGGTCAAATACTCTAAACGCGTGGCGATGTTGACTCTAAATGTGCAGGGAAAAACCGGAGGATCCGGAGGAAAATCCACGCAACCACGGGGAAAGAGAGACACGCAAACTCCAAATTACATCCGTAATACAGGTTTGTTTGGGTTAGATCGCGTAAATATATAAATGTGTCTTTAAACCCGCCACCACCCGACCCAGCCAACTAGTAAGGGTTGTCACGTAAACAGAATGTGGCCAATTTGTCACTTGTACAGCACGCCGGTTGTGTGTTGGAAAACCAAGCCACAACATTTATAATCTTGAGTACGATGTTTCACTAGTCATTACAACCAGCGTCATCAGGCGACAGCCAAATGTTGTGCCTTGGCTTTGTGGGAATATAAATCGGGTCGCTGGGTTTATAGTGCAGCATGCTAACCGTTGCACCACCGCTCCCCACTCATGCACAGACATCATCTGAAGTATGGTATATATTCAGTACTAGCTAAGTTACCCGGCTTCGCACAGGTCTCAGTAATCAAACACTAAGAGTAATGTCCTTCCATGTTGGCTTCATTAGAATTATTGAATTCTGCCAATGAAGCCTGTAAATGTGTGTATATTGTCACGTTTTTTGGTTGTGTTATACAATCGCAGGGCTTGTTTCATAATGAGGGCAGCTTTTAAAGTTGTTACCCTTGGAGAGCTTCAGGATAGACAATGTTGGATGTTTTGCCATCAAGTGGGTTTAATTGAATGAAGTTTCAATTTTGGCATACACATCGACAGCAAATTGCGGAAGAGCTCTTTGCATCTCAGTAAGAGATTGAAGCTGCCGTTTCGCACTATGATCCTGAAGGAAAAAACGTCCATGGCGGAAATCTTTTGTGTTGGTAAGCCTGTTGCTGGGTCAGTTTTGGCGGACTAGGAAATGGTAGCCATCATCACCTTGCAGGATTTGCATCTTGGTGTTGATGACATTTTTGCAATGCTGTTGAGCCTGTCACCGATTGTCAGTCATGCAAATTAGGTAGTGGCAGCAGACTGCGAATGCGATTATGTGGGCATGTAGACAGATGTCGGGATGAGTTGGTTGGTGCCAAAACATGTAATTTTGGAAGCATGAGTTCTTCTATTGTTGTTTTGGAATTGGCTTGCATAGGTAGTGTTGACAGGTATCAATACATGAATAGGCTCGGGATGATCATTAATTGTAGGGAGCTGAACCATGGTACTTGTTGCAGCATAACCCTGGAGAGTCTCTTTTCCATGTTATTGCATGGCAGTAGCTGCAAGAAGTAGACATGGAACCAATGACAACTAATGGATAAGAAATGTAAATGAAGTGAGGAATGTATGGAAAAAATACTTTTCCTTTTGGCTGTAGGTTAGACACCTGATTGCAGGCATTGTAGTGCTGTTTGCAAGCTGCCTTGCTTGTTGGTGGACAGGAGTTTGATTAGCTATGGCAGCATCCATTTGTGCTGTGTCAGTATTCTGTGTAGTTCATTGCTGTTGAGGAGTTGCTTTCGATGTAGGTGCAGGCAAAACAGCACTGTTGGCATGCTGTCTTGCTTTTTGCTGGACTGCAATTTCATAATATGTAGGTGCAGCCATCGCAGCAAGCATACGTACGCAGGTGGAGGGGGTGTGTAAAAAGTATGCGTGCGTACAGGGAGGGGGGGAGAGGTCAAGTTTTGACAGATATTTGCGTATGTACTTAAATGGATGGCCCCTATATGAAATGTCATAATGTGTTTGCGTGTGTGGGAAACCGGAAGTAGTGACAATCCCCCCGGGCTTTAACACATGACGAGAGAAAGAGAGGGGGGTAGGTGAGGAGCAGGGGGGTTTGGAGTGTGCAGGTGTTGAAGGTGAGCAGTTAAGCTAAAAATAGAGCAAAAAATACTATCACACCCGTGAGAGCACATGGAAAATTTGAGGTGTGTTGGTTTCATGGTGTTGGCGCAATTTGGTTCACAAAAAAGTGCACATGCGCAAAGCCTGCTTTATTTATATAGATTTTTACTATTTTTGTCTTGTACATTTTTATGTTTACGGTTTCTCAATGTTTATTATTCATTTTTGATTATTTCAAGCTTTCGTGACTTCAGGGATTCATCTTCTTGGTTCTTTCGGTAAAGTCACGTAGAAGGGAAATAATAAAATAATAAAAATAAAACATAATTAAATAAAATTCTCACGACGTTTCGGCCACAACACAAGCAGCCGTCCTCAGGTGAAGACCTGGTATCGACAATCAAGGGTATTTCCCTGTCCCCAGACGACCTGTCAGTTTTGATGTGGTTTCCTTGTTCACCAAGGTTCCCGTACCTGACACCATCGCAATCATTGATCAAGGACTTCATACTGATGTACCCCCCCTGGTGAGACACTGCTTAACCAACACATACTTCACCTGGAATGGAACTTTCTACAAACAAACTGAGGGCACCCCAATGGGCTTCCCCCTATCTCCAGTTGTAGCCAACGTTTTCATGGAGAAATTTGAGACTGACGCCATCCAGACTGCCACTCTACGCCCGACCTTATCTGGCCATATGGCCGGCCGGCTCTAGACCAATTCCTCGACCATATCAATTCCATACACCCAGCCATCAGATTCGCCATGGAAGTCGAAAAGGATGGCAAGCTACCCTTTTTGGATGTCCTAATTAAAAGGAGACCTGATGGTTCAATGAGCCATTCTGTCTACAGGAAAGCTACCCATACGGATGCTTACTTAAAACCGGATTCCCACCACCATCCATCCCAGAAGAATTCCCTCATCAAGACTCTACACCATAGAGCCCAATGCATCTCCGACCAGGAACACATTGCCAGTGAACTCAAGCACGTACACCAAGCTCTCAAGGCTAATGGTTACTCCAACTACACAATCCGCAAAGCCATCACTCCAACCATGAAGAAGGATCCTTTTGAGGAGCCATTTAAAACCATCACCTTACCCTACATTGCGGGGGTCACAAATAAGATCTCCAAAATCCTGAATAAACACAAGATCCAGGTCCGATTCAACACAGTACATAAAATCCGTGATCTGGTCCCGTCTGTAAAATATGTGGTTCCAGACATACAGTACCCTGGCGTCTACAAACTAAGTTTCCTCTGTGGTAGCAGTTACATTGGAGAAACCAAACGACATGTCTTGGACCGAATCCGTGAACATAAAGCAGACCTGAAACACGGTAGGATGAACACCTCAGCCGTGGCAGATCACTGTTATAATTCATTGGGTTCACGTGACATTGACTTCTCCAAGACGGAGGTTCTCTGCAAGCCATCCAGCTACCATGAGAGATTCGTTCACGAGGCAATCCACATATACAAACAGAGACAATTTCAACCGAGAAGATGGATTCTGGCTCAGCAATCATTGGAAGGGTGTGATAAACCATTTTGGGTCTTGATTGATTTTGTTTTATGGTGACTTTCAGACTGCAGTCCATTCGCTGGCATTGCCTCTTAGTACCTTTCACGCAACTGTCAATAGTATGGTTTATAGCAGATTGTATAATAATAAATAGTATAACAGTGTAATATTTAATATAATTCATGAGGTAATATATAGTATCATAATTGCATAGTGAATATACAGCAGTGTGGTATACAGTAGGGTTGGTAGAATAATACATAGTGTAATATTACATGTCTAATATTATTATAGTCTATAGTAACGCAGTGTATAATTCATTGTTGGGGTCTGTCTATGGCAGTTTATATTACAGGGTATAGTCGTGTGATGTAAGAAAAAAAAAAGATTAGATGGAGGCATATTATAATAATTTTTGCGACATTTAAGTGTAATGTATAATGGCTTATTGTTAGTAGCTCAGCTTATTGGAGATTATATTGAGAATACTGATGATATTGATGTAGTTTATATTTTAGTTTTTTATCGGTTCACTATATGATAGTCATTATATAGTGTATTGTATACCCAGTTACTTAATGTTAATAGCTCAGCTTATTGGAGAATATATTGAGTACATTGATTATATTGATGTAGTTTATATTTAGTTCTTTCACATCGGTTTATTGTATGATAGTGGGGGTTGCAGTTCTTTAGCATCAATATACTAAATGCCTCTGTTGATATCTAAACTCTGACTTTAACATAGCCACTTCCGTGACCAGTTACATGCTAATTCCTCACATTAACATTCTGCTCATTCTTTCACATTAACACAGCTTGTTCAATGCTAAATTCGTATGTTGATATGTAAACTCCTTTGTCAAGGCACTCTTCTCCTCCCACCCAGCTTAAAATACGCTGCCAAGCTTAGCAGTGTTCATTGGAGCGCTGTCTTTCAGACAGCTCTGTCTTCACCTGAGGACGGCTGCTTGTGTTATGGCCGAAACGTCGTGAGAATTTTATTTTATTATGTTTTATTATTTTATTATTTCCCTTCTACGTGACTTTACCAAAAGAACCAAGAAGATTTATTTCAATTGTTTAGTTTTTAGGCTATTTGGAATACAGTACAGTGCTTATTTCAATTGTGATGTTGTAAATTTTAGTTTCCGTTTACCTAACACCTTTACGTAGGTAAGCCCTAAGTATTGAATATTGCACTTTTACCTTTCGCACGGCACTTTCCAAGAACTTAACCTCTGTGATATTCAAGGGGCTGCTGTATTTTGCGTCCTACGACAGCAGAGGAGTACCGATTTTTATCAGGAACTAGATCTCCGTTTTCTTGATGAAATTAAGGCCTATAGTACCATAAAGAGACTTGGGGCTTTGGGTTGTTTGTTTTAAATGTTACTGCTGCTCTGCTCACATGCGTTGAGTATTTTTAGGATTTTGGGTAGGCCCATGTAAAGCTGTGTGACCAGGAGTCGGAGCCATTTCCTGTTCAAATTTGCTTGTGACAGAAATTCACTCTGGCCCCATGCATTACATTACATAGCATCTTAAATAATGATGTAGTTTGAGAAGCTCACAATGGCAATATGAATAAATTGCATTCATTTCGGTTACAATGGCTATAGTTGAGGGATTGTTCTCTGCTGGTCAACAATGTTACATCTGCTGATGATCTGGTATTGGCTACTCAATCAGTTGGGGTGAGGGAATCTTGTTCTGCGCCTGGATAATTCCATCATAAAATGGGGCCTTGCATATGTTCCACAAAAATCACCTGCCTGGGAATTTTCACGACCAGCTCTGGTTTGACAGCCAAAGTCTCACTTCAAATTAGTCGAGCAGCATTCTTTCATTAGACTGTAACAGTCTGGAAGCTGCCTGGACTTTTGCTCCATACAAAACTGTGAGTGTGCATTGCCAAGGTTTAGTCCATCTGAGACCATCCCTCTCCCAGCCATACTGGCATTGCACGTGCCCCTCACCCTTCATCCTGCGGATGGTCGGCGCACAGGATAGCGCCACATAGTCGTTCCAGACTGGGCCCGAATGTGTTACGTGGGCCACCAAGCTGCCAGGCGCTTGTTGGCGAACACCTCCCCCAGGCCTCGTTTCATGGGTGATATCAATATAGAATATCTGTAAGGATGCCCCCAATAGACTCCCCCTCGTACTCTACCAGGCATGTCCCACTGGGGAAAGACCCCGGAGCCGACCCAGGACACGCTGGTAGGACTATGTAGTTCAGCTGGCCTGGAAATGCCTGGGAATTCCCCAGTAAGAGCAAGAGCCTGTTGCCAGGGAAAGGGAGGTCTGGGCTGCCCTGCTCAATGTGCTGCCGCCACAACCATCACCAGGACAAGGCAGATTTAGAAACGAACAAAGCTGCGAGTCTTCTTGGCCACAGATATGACTCCTTTCTCTGTGGATGCAAAATATTAACTTATTTTAAGGACCGTCTGTGCTGGCTTATACAATGAAGACTGGCCTGCCTATGATCCCTCTATTGAACCAGACAATATTGTATTAGAACCTTAGGGGCTAAACAGCCATGGCATTGGCTAGATAATAGATTGGAGGATGTGGAGGTGATCAGACCTGCTGATGACTGGTACCAGTAGTGTCAAGATGTTCCTTTGTGGAGGAGGCATGTGACTTATGCTGCAGGGCAGTTGGAGGTATTTACTCTGCAACAACAATGAGGTCAGAGGAGCGATGCTCACATGAATGGGTGGAACGCTGGGTGCCGAAAACGCAGCAAGACAGCGGGGAGTCCAGCTGGTGCATCTGTCAATCATCTCAGTCATCCCTTGACACCTGGATCATTCCCATGACCTGCTGACAAGTGATCCACACTTACATGGGATTAAATTACACCTATCATTGCATGAGCACTGTGTCAAGTTTACTTCATGTGCAATGTGTGTGTAAGAGTTTATCTACGTGCAGTTATTTCACTGCATTATGAACTCAACAATTATAATTGTATTATCGCTGACAGCGAACATGATTGATAAGTGAAAACTTAACTTATTGTAGCACTCCGCTATATTGATTGTTCATAAATTAATTACTTGGTGTTGTGAGATAGCATTAATACTGAGCAGATGAAGGCAGCCAAGCATGTTTCTGGACACACCACCGTTTTACCATGCCAGTGTGTGACAGTGTCAAGTTTGTATTTGCTGTAAAGTATATTAACTCTTTTGAACACAGGTCAAATAAAAACAATAGATTATTTTAGTTTTCCTCTGGAACTTTTATGAGCATGGTAACAGTCATAAAATTAATACAGCACATATGCAGCTGAAGTTAAGTCTGTTCATCCGAGCATTCAAGCAAATCTGAGCCTGGCTTCACCTAAGTTGCGATTGAAAATTAATTTATATATGAATGCAAAATACAAGTAGTATTTTCAACACCCTTTGCTATGTAAGCTGAAATTTGCTTAAATATATATTTCTTTCATAGCCAGATAGCCTAAATTGTGTGCTTTGAGTTTTGGGTAAACATTAATTTTGAAGATACTAGGGCTTCTAGGCATATTTCTGACCACTTGTGTGCCTTAAGAGCCCATGTTATGATTTGGGGGATCTCTTTAACTATATCATGAATATATGAATAAGTATAGACGTGAAAGTCATGTGTGACTGTGTATATATGCATTCATCTGTGACTTTATACAGACGTAGATGGTGTTGATATTTCTTTTTTCTGTCTGCAGCTGACGACGCTTCCTCTACCACTTTGCTGTGCAGAATTGGTCTGATGCAGCAAAGGCACTCAGCTCAGCTCGGTCCACAAAGTCAACAATGCGACCAGTATGCAAACAGCACGGATCGTACTGGAAATTTGACACATCACCAGATAACTCATACAGGAGAGAAACCATTCAAGTGCACTGTGTGTGAGAAGACATTTGCACGGTCATCAATTCTTCAGAGCCACCAGAGAACACACACAGGAGAGAAACCCTTCAGGTGCACTCTGTGCAGGAAGGCATTTGCAGAGTCATCACATCTTAAAATACACCAGAGAACACACACGGGAGAGAAACCCTTCAAGTGCAGTGTGTGTGGGAAGGCATTTTCAGATTCATCACATCTTAAAAGACACCAGAGAACACACACAGGAGAGAAACCCTTCAGGTGCACCCTGTGCGGAAAGGCGTTTACAACGTCATCACATCTTAAAATACACCAGAGAACACACACAGGAGAGAAATCTTTCAAGTGCACTGTTTGTGAGAAGGCATTTGCATGGTCATCAGTTCTTCAGATCCACCAGAGAACACACACGGGAGAGAAACCCTTTCGGTGCACTCTGTGCGGGAAGGCGTTTGCACAGTCAACACATCTTAAAAGGCACCAGATGACACACAGGCATCAGAAGATCTCCAAGGAGTGGAGTCTGACATCGACTTGTGAAAGTCAAAGTCCTGCAATGAGCACATCCCTCATAAAACAAGAACCAGAAGAAAATCACAGCTTGGACACTTTAAAAGGTATCAAGGTGAAATATGAAGATGCGAAGGTGAAATGTGAAGAAGTGATGGTGAAGAGCGAAGAAGTGAAGGTAAAATGTGAAGATGAAGATTCAACTCCGAAATCAGACCTTCACATCGATGAGGGCAACGTGAAACAGGAGAAGAATTCTTACTCTGATGCAGAGCGAAGCAACTCCCAGCAGTTTGTGGAAGTGGAGGTGTGGGTGGACTTCTTAGACAATACAACGTTAAATGGAGACCCGGTAGATGTGTAAGCTTGAGACAATGAAGCCCCAATAGATTCACCTTTTGTCACGTGCCTTTAATGCAAGAATGTGAAGTTGAACACTCAATTCCGAGGTTCAGCCTGCAGAGTAAGAGCGGCCAGTATTTATGGACCTGTGGGTTGTGTAGATCTCTAACCAGGAGTGAGAGCCAATGAGCTCCCAAGCATTCACTATGTGATAAATGCATTTATATGGTGCTTACTTAATTGCCTCAGCGACTCGGAGTTTTGTATCATATCTCATCACAAATACTCGAAGAGCACCCCGTGGTAGCTGCCCCCGTGTGGCAACAGGTGGCCCTGCACCAGCCTTGCATGTGGGAATGAGTTTGTGAGTAGGGGGCGATAATTGGTGTGTAATCTCCGTCATGTAATTTCTGAATAATATTTGCAATGACTTAAGCATTTTAAATGAAACAATAGTATGTTTTACAGCCACTGGAGTAGCCAGGTGTGCCTGTCGGATTTTAACCTTGAAATCTCTGAAATAAATAGAGAATGCGCTATCACTTGGCTTTCCTTAATCTGAGTGTAGGCATGCCAACCTGAATGTTTCTAACCGGCGCAGATGTTCCATTTAGAGGGATCTACGTTTCACATGTCTGTAGAAGGAAGGGCATGACTGGCCGAGAAGACCCGAAGCTTTGTGCGGAGCGACAGACCAGGTAGCTTCCACTCAGCATTGCGCAGCTGATGATAAGATGATGCCGCCCGACTGATTAGGACCACCCACACAGCGTACACACACAGTCTGCACATACAGAGTGTATAAACAAACACATTAACAAGTACAACAACCGCCATTCGCCACTAAGTGGCGGTGATGTCACCACGGCACTTGTGCCAGGCTATGTGCACGTTAAGGCCACGTGAAGTGTCGAACGCCCGCCGGCAGGAGGTCACGGGGCAAAACCCAGGTGCCATGGGTTGACTGAGATAGTTTGTACACAGGCACACAGTGTATACAAACATACAGTGTATACAAACAGTGTATACACAATAATGTTCACGTTGTTGAGCTCATGCAACCAAGGGGTCTCTCTTCAATAGTGGGAGCAAATGAAAAGGAATCTAAATAAACAAACTCTGACTACTCCGCATTACCTTATCGGCGTGAGACGCCTGGGGGTGGTGTACCCCGTTAGTGATGTCATGTCACCAAGGTTTTCAACCCACCCCCCTCCACCGCACTCTTGAAGCGTAACGTCACGTCTGGTTCGTCATTTGCCGATTTCCGTTCCCGTAAAATCCTTCATGAAAGAGGTTTTTGAACAGTTTTACTTAACTTGATTTCTGTGTCGTGGTCAAATCTTGCAATCTAAATTTAGTCTACTTCCTTTTCAATGAATTCCAAATTTTGCACACGTACTCAGATCCGATGCATGCCTGTATCAAAATCAGGTACTCTGCTTCCCTTCACTGGCAAGACGACCTCAGCAGTACTTAACTCAACCCAATTGGTTTCTATGGTCAAGGACATTGTACTGTCTCCTGATATGGTCATCGCCAGTTTTGATGTGGTCTCTCTTTTCACCAAGGTTCTAGTGCCTGACACAATAACAATAATTGAAGACTTGGTCCAACATTGACTGAACTGGGATGTACCTGCGCTGGTTAGGCATTGCCTCACCAACACTTACTTTACCTAGAATGGTACTTTGTACAAACAAAATTAGGGTACCCCTATGGGTTCCCCCTTGTCACCAGTGATGGCCAATGTTTTCATGGGGAAATTCGAATCAGATGCCATCCAGACATCCACCCTTCGTCCTTCCCTGTGGAAGAGATATGTGGATGATACTTTCGTCATTTGGCCACATGGCCTCCCAGCATTGAACCAATTCCGAGACCACATCAACTCTAGACACCCATCCATCAAATTTACAATGGAAGTGGAGAAATATGGCAAGCTACCATTCTTGGATGTTCTGTTTGAGAGGAGGCCCGATGGCTCTTTGGGACACTCTGTTTACAGGAAGGCCACCCACACAGATTCCTACTTGAAGCCTGATTCCCACCACCACCCATCTCAAAAGAACTTCCTCATCAAAACACTACACCATAGGGCTCATTACATCTCAGACCAACACCACCTGGCCAAGCTGTTTCTCCCACCATGCAGAAACAACCACCTGAAACTCCGATCAAAATCATGACGTTGCCATACATAGGCGTTACCAAAAAGATTTCTAAAATTCTAAACAAACATAAGATCCAGGTCCGATTTAATACAGTACACAAAATCCGTGATCTGATCCCATCCATAAAGGATGTCATTCCTGACGTACAATACCCCGGTGTTTACAAATTGAGTTGTACATGTGGTGACTGCTATATCGGGGAGATGAAACAACATATTTATGACCGAATTCGCGAGCACAAATCAGATTTGAAATACGGCAGAACGAATTCTTCGGCCGTAGCTAATCATTGTTTCAACACAGCGGGTTCTCATGATACCATGTTCTCCGATACCAAAGTTCTCTCAAAACCTCCCAGATACTACCAAATATTTGTTCTATACAAACATAGATACAACTTCAACCGAGAGGATGGTTTTAAATTAAGCAATCATTGGAAAGATGTCATCAACCAAGCTAAACTCTAGCTGCCTTATAATTGTACAGCCATAGTAGTTGTTTAGCGTTTCACACACTGCTTGCCTGTAACCCACCGGCGTGCATAATAAAAGGCGACTTAATCCTAGCTTGCTTATCTACTTCCGCCATCTACATCACAAAGCTCCAGGCGTAGCCGTAACTGCTTCACAGGTCTGATAATTGGTTCTTTACCCTTCTATCTGGCAACAAAACTGACACCTTTTTACAAGGAGTCATGTTTGCATAGACCGCAATACCTGCAGTCATAATACAAACAAAATAACATAACTCTGATAATGTGCACTGTCCTTGAAGTTGATTGGTCCACACCCGAGACAGCTTTCCTTTGAGCCTAGTCTCATATGGGTTGGACCAGATGACGCCAAAAGGCGCACAACTCAAGGACAATGCACCATCAGAGTATGAGAGCTCGGGGCAAGCATCTACACTATGGGAACCTCATTTGCCAGTAAAAATATGATAATTGGTTCTTTACCCTTCTATCTGGCAACAAAACTGACACCTTTTTACAAGGAGTCATGTTTGCATAGACCGCAATACCTGCAGTCATAATACAAACAAATGAGGTTCCCATAGTGCTTCACAGGTCGTTTACCTCACCAGCTTATACCCCCCCCCCCCACGGCCCCCCTCCCCTTAACCAGTATATAAGGTCGTGTATCTTAGAGTTCACAGTAATTTTGCTGTGACTGTTCCACCTGAAGACGGGTGCTTGTGTTGCCTCCGAAACGTGATTTAATTGATTTGTTTTCGTCTTATTTTAACCGACAGGACTTTACCGAAAAAACCAAAGAGTATCACTTAATCAATTAATTGGCTCTTATGAAGCAATTCACATTTTTTTATGGATACCTTATTAGTTATATATATTTGTGTAGGTAAAAAACGGTCCCTAAACTCTCAAATCGCCTCACCCAAGAAGCAGGCGCCACGTGTCTCAGGCGCGCCTGCTCTGTGAACGAGTTACGGGCACCCTCACTCCACACAAACAAAAGTTGTACATTGAAGATTAATTTATAAAGTAATAAATTAATTCAAGCAAGCATTGATGTGGGAGCAGGCGCCATTGACGCGGTTCTCGACCGGGAGTTAAACAAAGTTGTTAATAAAACCGTTGGTTTTTTTACTTTTTAAAGGAGTTTATTTGGGTTAAAATCCTAATCAAAGATACGCCCAGTCACTCATTAACATAATTTATTCATAAATAAACTAATCGTTGTAGGGATGTGAAGACATAGCCACAAAGGAAAGAAGTATAAGGATGTAAGTTGTTGGAGGGAGTTATTGTTTGTAGTAATTGAAGTGGGTATGAATAATGTGTGGTGGTGTGTTTACATCTCTAATTATGTAAAGGCGAGTGTGTGTATGTTCATGCTTTTTATTCCTTAACAGGCGATGTAGACTTGATGTATTTAGTCGTAGCTGTTGTATAGCGTCTGTTGTGTAGAAGGAGGTCGGTAGTGCTGGTACTTAGATGTAGATATTTTCGAATAGTCCACGGTTTTTATAAATATTGCAATATCTTAGAGGTGAGCCATGCGTGTGCAGAGAGGACAGTAAGGAGCCGGAAGTGGATTAATTTTGTGGCAAAAATCCAGGCCTGATAATAGTACTACTGTAATGCGAGCGTAAATGGGGTTGTTGCTGGGCTCTGGTCCAATCACACGGCCTGGGGTATTGGGGGGCGGAGCCTGGTTTGCGGGACGTGTGGGAGGGGCCACCGTTCACCTCGGCTCCAATGGGAGGCGAGGTGAATGGGGGCGGAGCCAGCGGGGTAGTATGGGAAGTCCGGATCTGAGGATCCGGAAGGTGAGGAGTCAGGGTCACGTGGGGGGGAATGTATATAAGTGGGAGCCCGGAAGATATCGGGGCAGTCGGGGAAGTTAAGAGGCTGAGCCTCGTTGGGTGGTGAGGAAAGATTCGCACCATCGGCCACGTGGCAGAAGGACCTCTGCACGCCGTCGGCCAGCGGTCTGCAGAGTGCGGGAATAGAGGAGCTAACGGAGGAGCGTGTGGGGCACGCGTGAGAGAGCGTGGGTGGCACGCGAGAGAGAGAGCGTGCGCGGGGCGCGCGCGAGACGACACTGGTCCGGGAGGAGGCCAGTGGGGGGTGCGGAGAAGAACCTAAATAAAAGACAAACGGAGACCAGCATCGCCTGACGGAGTCTTTTATTACACTACTATAATCCAAGATTGTGTGTGTCCCGCGCTTGACGTCACCCCCCCTCCCCCGCGTGCCGTCAATCTGCATAAGGCCCACCCCTCCTCATTAATATTCATGATACACTAACGCAGAGGAAGGGTCGAGCTGAATAAAAAAAAATTACGCAAAGTAAAATAAATAAATATACGCAGCACACTGCTACATCTTTACATCTGTACGTAACGTCACTGTAAAAGAAGCCCCCCCACCCCCCGGTCAATAATCATGAGCGGGTGGATTTTTACACTCCCGCAGAAGATGGTCGAGCGGAAATACAAATATTTTTACGCAAATTCACTTTAAATTTGACGTTTCTTTATTGAAAAAGTTAATTAAATCTTTCTACGCAGCAACAAAGTGTTTTTGGTGTTTTTTTATTTCTTCAGCTCTTGAAACAAGGTAAGTCACATTTTTTCTTCTAAATTATGATAAAATTTCTACATTTTTCTGTGATTTTCCAGATATTGTATAGAATTCAAATTGAGTACAACCCCAGTGAGTGAAAGCAGAAGAAAATAAAGTATCAGAGCAGTGGTTTTGAACTATTTGAAGGTGAATCTTGACTTGAAGCTTTTGTGACTGCAGGAATCTATACTCTTTAGTTCTTTCAGTAAAGTCAAGAGATGCCGCGATACACTCACATCTGCTGCTGTGATTTCTAACGCTAAACGGATCTTGTTTAAAGCCAGCCTATCGCTAATCTCAGAGAGAAAAAGATTGCTCCGATTTGAACTTGATCATTTAGACAAGACTGTCTTACAATCACACTTACAATTAACAGAAAAAATGTCCACTTCTGATTGGGACCATGTAGATAACATGACAGTCTCCTCTGCTAATTCAATGTCAACCAAAGTTAACTTGATCGCTAAATTCAACCTCCTGTCAAAAAAGAAGCCAGAGCCACACGTTCAAAAGTTAGATGTCAACAAGATTGTCATCAATCAGAGTAATATCCAAATTTCAGACAGCCTAAAATCGGTACGAGCTAAGAGGTTGAATTTCGCAGTCACCCCTAAACATATCCCAGTGGATGATATAATCCCCCAGTCGACGTAGCCCTGAAAGGCTTGCGACACATCGTGACAGACGTTGCTAGATTTGAAATTGCCACCATCCTTAAAAATGCTAAGAAACCTATCAGTAACATCAGCATCTGAACTCGCAAAATATGGTAAGGTGAGGCTTAAGACCAAGAGTAGACTGCATAATAAAGGACTGAGCCTAAACAAACATAAGATCCAAGTCTGATTCAGTACAGTGCATAAAATCCGTGATCTGATTCCATCTGTGAAGGATGTCGTTCCTGACTTACAGTATCCTGGAGTCTACAAATTGAGTTGCAGTTGTGGTGATTGCTACATTGGAGAAACGAAACGTCATGTTTCTGATCGTGTCCGCGAGCACAAGTCAGATCTGAAACACGGCAGAACTGATTCTTCGGCTGTTGCCGATCATTGCTACAACTCTGTGGGCTCTCATGAAATTGTCTTTTCCGAGACCAAGGTGCTCTGCAAACCTCCTGGCTACCATCAAAGGTTTGTACACGAAGCCATACAAATATACAAACACAGACATAATTTCAACCGTGATGAGGGTTACAAACTGAGTAATCATTGGAAAGATGTAATTAACCATGCAAAAAAGATGTAACTACACTTATTTGAACCATCTTATTTGTGGTGGTACCTGCTATGATTATAGCAGTGCATACCGACTGTGGTGGTCCCAGCTATGATTACAGCAGTGCATACTGTGGTGGGACCTGCTTTCACTACAGCAGTGCATACTGTGGTGGTACCTTCTATGATTACAGCAGTGCATACCCACTGTGGTGGGTACCTTTCACCACAGCAGTGCATACTGTGATGGTACCTACTATAACAGCAGTGCATACCAACTGTGGTGGTGCTTGCTATGATTACAGGAGTGCATACTGTGGTGGTACCTGCTTTCACTACAGCAGAGCATACTGACTGTGGTGTGACCAAACTACTAACCTGACAGAGGTGGCATCTTCGCAGGCTGGGCCGCTATCCCCCCCCACCATCCCCCTGCCCGCGCTACAATAATGCTATGTAAGCACTATATTAGTATCTATGTGACTCTATAGTAGTAACTGCACGAATCGGGGTGGGGAATGGGGGGAATTTAGCATGTTTAACACTAAAGAAAATGTCCCCCTTACCCCCACCGAATGCGTGACTTGGTAGGGGCCTTCCCCCCCCCCCCCACCAAATGCGTGTGAGTTGGTATGGCCGATCACGCGCTATTTAATAAATAAATGGAAACTACACTAAATAGCTAATTTAACGACTTTAAAGTTGATGGACGGGGAAAAGGGAATATCGTTTACTCACCACGGGGCTTACGGAGTGGTACCTGGCTATTTTTTTTACATAAACCATACGATTTGAGAGCCAAATCTCTCACAATTGTGCACACACACACAGACAGAAAATGACATTTATATATAAGATAGTGAATGCTTGGAAGTTTATTGGCTCTCACTCCTGGTTAGAGATCTAGCCAACTCACAGGTCCACAAATACTGGCTGCTCTTACTCTGTAGGTTAAACCTAGGAACCGAGTGTTCAACTTGACATTCATTAAAGGTAGAATTTAGGTGCTTGTGTTGCGATCGAAACGTCGTGGGTTTTTTGCTTTAATTTAATTTCTATCTACGTGACTTTACCGAAAGAACCAAAGCATATGAATTCCTGCAGTTACGAAAGTTTTAAGTCAAAATTAATTAAAGGCCTGACAAAGGTGAATCTATTGGAAGTTTATTGTCTCAAGCTTACATATCGACAGGGTCTCCATTTGACTTTGTATTGTCTAAGAAGTCCATCCACACCTCCACTTCCACAAACTTTGGGAAGTTGCCTCGCTCTGCTTCAGAGTCAGAAATCTCCTCCTGCTTCACGTTGCCTCCATCGATGTGAAGGTCTGATTTTGGAGTTGAATCTTCATCTTCACATTTTACCTTCATTTCTTCGCTCTTCACTGTAATTTCTTCACATTTCACCTTCGCCTCTTCATATTTCACCTTGATACCTTTCAAAGTGTCCAAGCTGGGATTATATTCTGCTTCTTGTTTCATGAGGGATGGGCTCATTGCAGCACTTTGACTTTCACAAGCCAATTTCAAACTCCACTCCTTGAGGATCTTCTGATGCCTGTGTGTCCTCTGGTGTCTTTGAATATGTGATGAATGTGCGAACGCCACATCACACACAGTGCACCTGAAGGGTTTCTCTCCTGTGTGTGTTCTCTGGTGTTTTTGAAGATGTGGTGACTGTTTAAACGCCTTCCCGCACAGCGTGCACCTGAAAGATCTCTCTCCCGTGTGTGTTCTCTGGTGTCTCGGAAGATCCGATGACTGTGCAAACGCCTTATCACACACAGTGCACCTGAAGGGTTTCTCTCCTGTGTGTGTTCTCTGGTGTATTTGAAGATGTGATGACAATGCAAACGCCTTCCCGCACAGCGTGCACCTGAAAGATTTCTCTCCCGTGTGTGTTCTCTGGTGCCTCTGAAGAACTGATGACTGTGAAAATGCCTTCTCACACACAGTGCACTTGAAGGGTTTCTCTCCAGTGTGTATTCTCTGGTGCCTCTGAAGACCTGATGACTGTGAAAATGCCTTCGCACACACAGTGCAATTGAAGGGTTTATATCCTGTGTGTGTTCTCTGGTGCTGTGTCAAGTTTCCAGGACGATCCGAGCTATTTGCATACTGGTCACATTGCTGCCTTTTTGTACTGAGCTGCGCTGAGTGCATTTGCTCCATCACACCAATTCTGTAGAGGAAACGCCAGCTGCAGACAGAAAAAAAAATCCACACCATGTCAGTATGGTGGGACAGAGGAATGCATATATACAGTCACACACGACTTACACGTCTATTCTTATTAAAATAATCATGATATAGTGAAAAAGAGATTCCCCAATTCATCACACGGGCTGCTAAGGAACAATGATAGGACAAATGGTCATAAATATGCTTGGACGCCCTAGAATTGAATGCTCGGATGAACAGATCTAACCTCAGCTGCATATGTGCCATGTTAATTTCCTGACTGTTACCACTCTTATAAAAAGTTCCAGAGGAAAACTAAAATAAACTATTGTTTTGATTTAACATCTGTGTTCAAAAGAGTTAATATACTTTACAGAAAATACAAACTTTATACGCTCATACAGTGGCATGGTAAAAAGGTGGTGGTGTGTCCAGAACCATGCCTGGCCACCTTCATCTGCTCAGTATTAATGCTTCCTCACATCACCAAGAAATTAATGGAAGATCAATCAACATAGCAGAGGCCCACAATAAGTTCAGCTACCACTTATCAATCATGTTTGCTGAGTTCATAATGCAGTAAAATACCTGCGCCACTGCTCCCCACAAAAAAACTCTAACATACATACATTTCACATGAATCAGTAACAGATAGTCATACCTCGGTAAACGACCGCTTTGGAAAACGTCGAATTTGGTATACGTCGTGTTTTGACGAGAAAAAAAATGTCTTTGGATACGTCTTGTTTAGGATATGACGCGCTTGCTATAACTTTTATGGGTCGGGATGAGTCACCGTGTGCCCGCGTATATCCCGTTCACGACTGAAACATAGCGCCGCTCCTCAGTCAACAAGCCATAACAGTATTGCATGGAAAGACCAATGTCACACTTCAGGAACAGAAGGCAAAAACAAACTTCAATGGACTGGTTTTTAGTAAAACTCAAACCTGGTGAGCCTCAACCAGGTCCAAGTCAAGAAAAAAGACGGAAAAAAGAGAAAAAAACCCCAGAATTTCAGCTTCCTGAAGTTTTAATGGAAGGGGACTCTCCTTCCAAAAAATAACTCCTCTCAGCAAGGTAAATTGATGTTACATTTTATTTCAATTTATTCTAATGTATTTATGCCTTTATTTTAATTTATGTATGCATTTTAGTAATAAGTAGTTTAAATTATTTAATACAATCCCATTAATGTATAATATGCCATATAAAACATAATTTCTTATGGGAAAAATTCGTTTGGTATACGTCATTTTCGGTATAAGTCCTATCTTCTGGAACGAATTAACGATGTATACTGAGGCACCACTGTATAAACAAAACCGCCACCATTCATCAATAATTGGAAGTAACCTTGTCACAGTGCATATCCCATGATAGGTGCAATTTAATGCCATGTACGTGTGGGTCACTTGTCAGCAGGCCATGGGAATAATCCAGGTGTCAAGGGATGACTGAGATGATTGACAGATACATCAGCTGTGCTCGTTTTAGGCACCCAGCATTCTACCCATCCACGTGAGCATCGCTCCTCTGACCTCATTGTTGTTGCAGAGTAAATACCTCCAACTGCCCTGCAGCATACGTCACCAGCCTCCTCCACAGAGGCCGATCTTGACACTCCTGGTACCAGTCATCAGCAGGTCTGATCACCTCCTATTTTCCAATCTCTTCTCTATCCAATGCCATGCCTGTTTAGTCCCTAAAATCTGGACTAACAGAATTTCTCACACTAACACAGCCACTTTGTGCGCCGACGTCGTTCTGGATGCTCTGCGATCTTACATTTACATGCTAATCTCTCATATTAACATAGCTGCTGCTGCATTGGCAGTGGTATGGCATTGTCATTGTTGCTGCATTGGAAGTGGTACACCGCCCATGACCTCGGTTGCCGCCGATACACTTGGGCCACGCCCATCCCCAAACCTTTATCAACATTTTGCCTTCAGAGGTCAACTCCTTTGCCTGAAGACGACCGCTTGTGTTCCGATCGAAACGTCATAGTGTTTTTATTATTATTTTCTTTGAACCTATCTACATGACTTTACCGAAAGACCCAAAGAACATAAATACATCAAGTCTACATCGCCTGGTAAGGAATAAAAAGCATGAACATACACACACTCGCGTTTACATAATTATATATGTACACACACCACCACACACATACTATTCATACCCACTCCAATCACTACAATTACTACCTCCAACAACTTACATCCTTATACTTCGTTCCTTTGTGGCTATGTCTTCACATTCCTACAACGATTACAAATCCAACTATCATTTCATTAACAATCTCACCACAGCATTCACTCACACACTCTTTTTTCTCTTTTTCTGATTATCAACTTTACCTCCACCTATGACGTGCCTTGTGGAAAACGTGCATTTATCTTCACCAAACGCGATTACAATAATTGATTCCATTCGTACAAGTGCTGCGATGGCTGCACCTACAGCTTATGAAACTCCAGTACAGCAAGAAGCAAGACAGCATGTGACCAGTCCTGCTTTGCCTGAACCTACATCGAATGCAACTCCTCAAAAGCAATGAGCTACACAGAATACTAAAACAGCACAAATGGCTTCTGCCCCAGCTAATCAAATTCCAGCCCACCATTAAGCAAGGCAGCTTGAAAACAGCACAATGGCTGCAACCAGGTGCTAACTCTGTAGCCAAAAGGAAAAGTCTTATTTTTCATACATTCTTCACTTCATTTACACTTCTGATCCATTAGTTGCCATTGCCTCCATGTCTATTTCTTGCAACTAATGCCATGCAATGACATGGATAAAGAGACCCTCCAGGGCTATGCTGCAACAGTACCATGGTTCAGCTCCCTACAATTGAACTTGATGGCGGGACCCCGGGGTCCCATAAGCCCCTGGGGCTCTCGCATAAACATGAGATGAAAATGTAATCAAAAACTTTGCTCTTTTTGACCAATGGGTTTGAAGGATGGTGGCAAGTGTTGTATTGTTAAACTACAGTAAAACCTTGGATTGCGAGCATAATTCGTTCCGGAAACGTGTTTGTAATTCAAAGCACTCATATATCAAAGCGAATTTTCCCATAAGAAATAATGGAAACTCAGATGATTCGTTCCACAACCCAAAAATATTCATATTAAAATGATTAATACAAAATACATTTTTATATTTGTATTATTTAAATTAAATATAAAGTAATCAAATTGATTAATTAAATGTAATCGTGGCTGATGAGAGGGAGACGAGAGAGAGGAGGAGGGTTATTGAGTAGGACGACTTTCACTGTCACCAACGGAATCACTGCTATCTGTTGGCTCACTGGAATCTTTTCCTTTTGTGCGACTTTAAGAAGGAACCTATCCAATGACACTTGCTTTTGCCTCCTTCTTACCACCTTCCTTTTCAACCTTTTTCTTCATGGGGGCCATTGTTGCAGTACAGTTACTAAAGAAGTCACTACACTTGGACACAAAATTTAAAAAATGCTTTACGCACACACGTGGCCACAACACTAAAGTAAACAGTATACGCTCGCACAGATGTTGACTATACGAGTGAGGCACGCCGACTGAGACCGAGCATGGGAGACGATTACCCACAATCTCGCAGCAAGAGAGAAGAACCATCGGCTCAGTTGTGATCACGTGACGCTCGGCAGACAAAGTGTATACGTACTACTCATATTGCAAGACCTCGCTCGTTTATAAAGTGAAATTTTATTTTAAAATGTTGTTTGTCTTGCCAAACACTCGCAGATCAAGTTACTTGCAATCCAAGGTTTTGCTGTATATCTTTAAAACTGCAGTACCTCTATTTAAATACATGATTGAAAAAAATATTTACACCCCTCTGCCAATCATCGTGTTTCTCGGTGTGGATTTGTGAACACACTTTGTAAACAGTACATACCATAGTACGCGTTTGCACAGATGTATACGGACAAGAGAAGTATTATCAAACAGGAGGAATTAACGGTGCAACACATCTCATCTGTTAAATATCTGCAGGTAATAGGATTGTCGATTGATCCTGGCTGCAGACATTGGTAGGTCACAAATAATAATGAAGAGAGCAGTTTCACTGTATTATGCATACCGTTATGACAAATAAAGTCGTGTAGAGGCAGTTTGAGCAGCTTTGGATAAGACGTATGATCCTGCCCATACCCGAGCATGGAGTGCATTCGCTTGTTCAGCTCTTCTGCGCATTCGTCCTCGCTGCGCTTGGACGACATGACAACAGAATGATCCACGCCATTTATGTGCGCGTTGGGACAGTCGCCAAAAAGCATTTAATTACGGTAATTACCATAAAGTTAAATTAATGACCATCCCGAGCCTATTCATGTATTGATACCTGGCAACACTGCCTATGCAAGCCATTTCCGAACCAACAATAGTAGAACTCACGCTTCCAAATTACATGTTTTGACAACCAACCAACTCAATCCAACATCTGGCTCCATGCCCAAATTTTAACTGCAGGGCCAGCTACATAATCGCATTGGCAGTCTGCTGCCATTACCTAATGACCTACCTACATTACCACAGATCTACTTGCATGTCTGACAATACTAGACAGGCTAACCAGCATTGCAACGATGTCATCAACATCTGAAGTCGCTTTCATTCTGACTGCTGAATAACATGGCACTTGAGGCATTGTCTTATAACTGAGGAATAATACCCTACACAGAAATGAAAAACAGCGACCCCATGGTGCTCTTCAATATCCACTGATTTTCTGGCAAGGTGATGATGGCTACCATTTCCTACTTGGCCAAACTGACCCAGCAACAGGCTTGTCAACACAAAATACGATTTTCGCAATGGACTTCTGTGCCTTCAGGATCATGGTGTGAAACGGCAGCTTCAATCTCTTCTTGAGATGCAAAGAGCTCTTCCACCAATTTTCTGTCGACATATATGGCAAAATTTAAGCTTCATTCGAATAAACCCACCAGATGGCAAAACATCCCACATTATCTATCCTGAAGCTCTCAAAGGGTAACGAATCTAAAAGCTGTCCTCATCATGAAGCAAACAAGCCCTGCGATTGTATAACAACCAAAAAACCGTGACAAAATACACATTCGGCTGTCGCCTGATGAAGCTAGTTGCAATTACTGGAGAAACATCGTAATCAGATTGTAAATGTTGTGGCTTGACTCTCCAATACACAACCGGTTGTGCTGTACTAGTGACGAATTGGCACGTTCTGTTTACGTGACAAACCTTACTAGTTGGCTGTGTCGGGTGGGAGTGGGTTTAACGACACATTTATATATTCACGCGATCTAACCCAAACAAACCTGTACTATGAATGTATATTTGGAGTTCGCGTGTCTCTCTCCCCATGGTCACGTAGATTTTTCTCTGGATCCTCCGGGTTTCCCCTGCACATTAAGAGTCAACATCGCCACGCGTTTAGAGTATTTGACCGATATACATTTTCACACGTTGATAAGCCACTTTGTTGTGGGCAGGTCGCTCCTGAAAAAGAGCGGTATAGCTCCTCAAGTGGGCTTAGCCTGGTGAAATAAAAAATAAACTCTAGAAATATAAAAAAAAGTTTAAAAGTAGTGAGACAGGTGAAGACAAATTAAACTTAAGCAGAGAATTAAAGCAAAATCAATCAGGCGAGAGCAGGAGGAAAAGCCCCTCTTGGCTAGGCCCCACGTTGTAATTTTCCAACCTGGACATCGATTCCATACTCGCTGCTTCTCAATTGATATCCCTACGAGAGAGAGAGGAGCGAGGCTCTACCTGGGTGAACAACAACCACAACAACCACGATGTGAACTTCTCACCTTGGATCTCAGTGAATGCGCGCGAGGAGAGGCACCCTCCTGGTATCTCGTGACGTCACGCGGCAGCAGGTGACATGACGTCACTTGCGGGGCACAACACGCTCCCCCCACGAACGGCTTTGTAACTGGATAAATTATGTTAAGGATAGGCCAGTGACCGGGTGTGGTTTTGCCCAAATAAGGATTTTACCGTCACGGAAATAAGCAGTGACTAACAAGTCGTGACGTAACGCTAGAGAGCGCGGTGGAGGGAAGTTGGGGTGACATGACGTCACGAGCGGGGATCACCTCGTCCCTGCGTCTCACACCGATGAGGTGATGAGGAGTGGTGACGTCTTAGAGCGAATCAACGGGGTTAAGAGTTTTAGTTTATTTAGATTTCTTTTCCATTGCTCCCTCTCTTGGGTGCGTGAGCTCAACAACGTGAACATTATTGTAATATTTCGATTTAAAGCTTTCGTGGCTACAGGGATTCATCGTCTTGGTTCTTTTGGTAAAGTTACATAGAAGGGAAGTAATAAAATAATAAAAATAAAACAATAATTTTTTTGGTTCTTTCGGTAAAGTCACGTGACTTTACCGAAAGAACCAAGAAGATTATTGTAATAGGTTTTTACCCTTTCAACTGGTACAAAAAATGACACCTTTATACAAGGCATCATGTTTGAAATAACCACAACACAAGCAGTCAAAATGCAAACAAAAAGAAACAACTCTGATGATATGCACTGTTCTTGAAGTTGATTGGTCCACACCCGTGACAGCTTTTCTTAGAGCCTAGTCTCCATTGGTGTTGGACCAGATGACACCAAAGGCGTACAACTCAAAGACAGCACACTATCAGAGTATTGAGAGCTCAGGGTAAGCATTTACACTGAGACCTCCTTTACCAGTGGCAAAATATAGTAATAGGTTTTTACCCTTTCAACTGGTTTGCATTTTTACTGCTTGTGTTGTGGTTATTGCAAACATGATGCCTTGTATAAAAGTGTCAGTTTTTGTACCAGTTGAAAGGGTAAAAACCTATTACTATATTTTGCCACTGGTAAAGGTCTCAGTGTGAACATTATTGTGTAGACACTGTGTGTGTGTACAATACGTCTACACTGCGTCTGTGTGCGTACACTGTGTGTGGGTGGTCCGAATCAGTCGGGCGGCATTCTCTTTTCATCAGCTGCGCAATGCTGAGTGGAAGCCACCTGGTCTGTCGCTCCGCACGAAGCTTCGGGTCTTCTCAGCCACAGTCATGCCCTCCCTTCTACAGGCATGTGAAACGTGGACCCCTCTAAATGGAACATCTGCGTCGGTTAGAAACATTCAGGCTGGCATGTCGACACTCAGATTAAGGGAAGCCAAGTGGTCGCACATTATCTATTTATTGCAGAGGTTCAATGTTGAAATCTGACAGGCACCCATGGCTACTCCAGTAACATTAACCAAAATTTCCACCGTCTGCTGAACAGTGGATGTAAAACATACTATTGTGTCATTCAAAATGCTTAGGTCATTGCATGTTGGTATCATGGTCAAGATTTGGGTAATTCCAAACATTATCTAGAAATTACACAACGGAGATTACACATCAATTATCGCACCCTACTGAGGGAATTAAGCAAGCACCTTATGAATGCAAACATTATAATTATATGTGGAAGCTTGGGAGCTTATTGGCTCTCGCTCTTGGTTAGACATCTACCCAACCCACAGGTCCATAAATACTGGCCGCTCTTACTCTGCAGGTTGAACCTAGGAATTGAGGGTTCACCTTCACATTCTTTTCATTAAAGGCCTGTGACAAAGGTAAATCTATTGGAGCTTCATTGTCTCAAGCTTACACATCTACCGAATCTCCCCTTGACTTTGTATTGTCTAAAAAGTCCAGCCACACCTCCACTTCCACAAACTGCTGGGAGTTGCCTCGCTCTGCCTCAGAATCAGAATTCTCCTCCTGCTTTACGTTGCCTCCATCGATGTGAAGGTTAGATTTGGAGTTGAATCTTCATCTTCATATTTAACCTTCACTTCTTCGATCTTTACCATCATTGCTTCACATTTCACCATTGTTTCACATTTCATCTTCACCTCTTCACATTTCACCTTCACCTCTTCACATTTCACCTTGATACCTTTCAAAGTGTCCAAGCTGGGATTTTCTTCAGTTTTTTGTTTCACGAGGGATGGGCTCATTGCAGCACTTTGACTTTCACAAGCAGATTTCAGACTCCACTCTTTGTGGATCTTCTGATGCCTGTCTGTTCTTTGGTGTGTTATAAGATGTGCTGACTGTGTAAACGACTTCCCACACACAGTGCACTTGAATGGTTTCTCTCCTATGTGCGTTCTCTGGTGTGTTTTAAGAGTAGATGAATCTGAAAATGCCTTCCCACACACACTGCACTTGAAGGGTGTATCTCCAGTGTGTGTTCTCTGGTGTGTTATAAGATGTGGTGACTGTGCAAACGCCTTCCCACACACAGTGCACTTGAATGGTTTTTCTCCTGTGTGTGTTCTCTGGTGTGTTTTAAGAGTAGATGAATCTGAAAATGCCTTCCCACACACACTGCACTTGAAGGGTTTCTCTCCTGTGTGTGTTCTCTTGTGTTTTTTAAGATGTGATGGCTCTGCAAATGCCTTCCCACACAGAGTGCACTTGAAGGGTTTCTTTCCCGTGTGTGTTCTTTGGTGGCTCTGAAGAACTGATGACCGTGCAAATGTCTTCTCACACACAGTGCACTTGAAGGGTTTCTCTCCCGTATGTATTCTCTGGTGGCTCTGAAGAACTGATGACCCTGCAAACGACTTCCCACACACAGTGCACTTGAATGGTTTCTCTCCTGTGTGTGTTCTCTTGTGTGTTTTAAGAGTAGATGAATATAAAAATGCCTTCCCACACACACAGCACTTGAAGGGTTTCTCTCCTGTGTGAATTCTCTGGTGTTGTGTCAAGTTTCCAGTACGATCTGTGCTGTTTGCATACTGGTCGCATTGTTGCCTTTTTTTAGCGAGCTGCGCTGAATGCCTTTGCTCCATCAGACCAATTCTGCAGAGGAAGCATCAGAGGAACGTCAGCTGCAGACATAAAAAAAATTCAAACCATCTATGTCAGTATCGAGGCACAGAGGAATGTACATATACACAGTCACACATGACTTACACGTCTATAATTATTCATATATTCATGATATAGTGAAAAAGATTCCCCAATTCATCACACGGGCTGTTAAGGCACACATTGATAAGGGAAATCTTGATTTGAAGCTTTTGTGACTGCAGGAATCCATACTATTTGGTTCTTTCGGTAAAGTCACATAGATAGAAAATGTATAGATCACAACGTTTCGATCGCAACACAAGCAACCGTCATCAGGTGAAATAAACACAGCAGGAGAACTGCTGATGTAGGAGAAAGAGCTGCTGCTGCAACAAGAGGTTATATAAGCTTTTGGTCGGCCCAACCCAAGGGTAAGTGGGCGGAGCTAGAGAAGGAATTTGTACGTAAATGTAAGAGATTAACATGTCAATGTGAAAGCTAATATAACCTCTTCTTGCAGCAGCAGCTTTCTCCTATGTCAGGAGTTCTCCTGCTGTGTTTGTTTCACCTGATGCCGGTTGTTTATGTTGCGATCGAAACGTCGTGATCTATTAATTTTCTATCTACGTGACTTTACAGATAAGGGAAATGGTCATAAATATGCCTGGAAGCCCTAGTATCTTCAAATTTAATGTTAACCCAAAACTCCAAGCACACAATTTCGGCTGTCTGGCTACAAAAATTATATTTAGAAAAGCAAAATTCAGCTAACATAGCAAAGGGTGTTGAAAGTAATACTATTTGTGTTATGCAGAAATTAATTTTCAATCGCAACTTAGAGGTGTGAAGAAGCCAGGCTCAGATTTCCTTTAACACTCAGATGAACAGATCTAATTTTAGCTGCCTATGTGCTATGTATATTTCAAAGGAAAAAAAATAAACGACTGTTATGATTTAAACTCCGTGTTCAATATAGTTAATATACTTTACAGAAAATACAAACTTTACACTGTTACACACTGGCATGGTAAAAAGGTGGTGGTGTCCAGAACCATGCCTGGCCACCTTAATCTGCTCAGTATTAATGCTTCCTCACTAGTCCATGTAATTAACTTATCAATCATGTTTGCTGCAGCCGATAATCAAACTCTAATTGTTGATTTCATAATGCAGTGAAATAACTGCCCCACCGCTCCCCACATAGATACATTCTTACATACACATACATTTCACATGGATCATTAACAGATTATATAAACAAAATATCCACCATTCATCACGAATTGTAAGTAACCTTATCACAGTGCTCATGCCATGATAGGTACTCATGCCATGATAGGTGAAATTTAAGGCCATGTAAAATGTAGATCACTTGTCAGCAGGTCATGAGAATGGTTCAGGTGACAAGGAATGACTGACAGATGCACCAGCTGTGCTCCTCATGATTTTGCTGGGTTTTAGGAACCCAGCGTTCCATCCATTCATGCGAGCGTCGCGGTTTCGACCTCATCGTTGTTGCAGAGCAAATATCTCCAACTGTCCTGCAACATACCTCACGGGCCTCCTCCACATATGCCAATCTTGACACTCCTGGTACCAGTCAATGGCAGGTCCGATCACCTCCACATCCTCCAATCTCTTCTCCAGCTAATGCCATGCCTGTTTAGCCCCTAATATCTAGACTAATAGATTCTGCTTGAGCAAGCAGTGTCTTGGAATGCAGGATTCATGACCAAACCAATGCTGCCTTCCCTGCCAAAGAGACTCATGATTAAATTCTATATCGTTATCTTAAGGATCTGTAAGCTTCTAATACAATATAGTCTGAATTTAGATTTAAAGCTTTCGTGACTGCAGGAATTCATCTTCTTGGTTCTTTCGGTAAAGTCACGTAGTAGGGAAGTAATAAAATAGTAAAAATATTATGTTTTATTTTTATTATTTTATTACTTCCCTACTACGTGACTTTACCGAAAGAACCAAGAAGACAATATAGTCTGGTTGAATAGAGGATGAATCATAGGCAGGCCAGCCTTCATTGTATAAGCCAGTACAAACGGTCATTTAAATAAGTTCATATTCTGCATCCAGAGAGGAGTAATATCTGTGGCCAAGAAGAATCAAAGCTTTGTTCATTCCTTCCTTTCTAAATCCGCTTGTCCTGGTGAGGATCGCGGTGGCAGCACGTTGAGTAGGACAGCCCACGCTTCCCTTTCCCTGGCGATAAACTGGAGCTCATCCTGGGGAATTCCCAAACGTTCCCAGGCCAGCCGAGCGACATAGTCCTGCCAGCGTGTCCTGGACCAGCCCCGGGGTCTTCGCCCAGTGGGATGTGTCTGGCAGAATTCCAGGGGAAGTCTATTGGGGGGTATCCTTACATAAATAATATTTTGATATCATCCCTAGAGCCAGACCCAGGGGTTGTGTTCGCCAACAAGCGCCTCGTGGCCGGGTGACCCACGTAACCCAGTTGGGCCCAGCTCGAAATGGCTGCGTGTTGCCATCCTGTGTGCCGACCATCCGCAAGACGAAGGGTGAAAGGCGGGTGCAATGCTAGTATGGCAGGGAGAGGGATGGTCTCAGATGGACTAGACCTTGGCGATGGACACTCACAGCTTTGTATGGAGCAAAAGCCTAGGCAGCTTCCATACAGTGTTATACAGTCTAATGCAAGAATGCTGGTCGACTAATTTGAATTGAGACTTTGGCTACCAAACCAGAGCTGGTTGTGAACACATTAAGAAGGCATGAGAGCTCCTCCTCCACTTGTAGAACTGCCTGATTATTCATGGAGAGTTGAACAGGTGCAGTGTTGTATGACATGAATTATCCAGGAACAGAACAAGATTCCCTAATAGCCATTACCAGATCATCAGAAGATGTAACATGGTTGATCAGCAGGGAACGATCCCTTAACTATAACCAGGCATCGATTAGCATATCATTGTAACCGTAACGAATGCAATGTTTTTATATGACCATTTTTATCAAACTACATAGTTATTAAATATGCTATGTAATGCACCGTATCTATATGTTAATTTGTCACAAGCCAAGTTGAACAGGAAATGGCTCTGACTCCAGGTTACGCAGCTTTGACAGGCCTGCCCAAAATAATAAAAACCCTCAACGAATGTGAGCAGAGACAGAGACATCGAAAACAAGGAACAACCCAAAGCTCCAAGCCTCTTTATGGTACTATAGGCCTTAATCACATTAAAAAAGCAGACCTAGTTTCTGCTGAAAATCCGTACTCATCTGCTGTAGTCGATCAACAGAAAATACAACTGCCCCTTGATTATCGCGGAGGTTACGTTCTTGGAAAGTGCCGCGTAAAAGCTAAAAGTGCGATATTCAATACTTAAGCCTAACCTACGTAATTGCGTTAAAGCCCTGGGCATTTTCACTACTTCTGGTTTGCCACACACGCAAAGACATTTTGACATTTCATATACTACAATTCCACACACTCATCATAGCATAAGTGTCTGCACTGCACTGCCCTGCTATATTTGTTCTCATATTTACCACGTTATCATTCCCGATTATCAGGCCTGTGTTTTTGCCACCAAATTCACCCACTTCCTTACTGCCCTCTGCACGTGCATGGCTCACCTCTAACACACACTGCAATATTTATATTTAAAAATGTACTATTCTAAAATATCGACATCTACGTACCAACACTACCGACCTCCTTCTACACGTAATATAAGCTATACAACAGCTACGACTAAATACATCACGTCTACATCGCCTGGTAAAGAATAAAAAGCACGCATATACACTCACATTAAAATAATTATATACAGTGAGGGAAAAAAGTATTTGATCCCCTGCTGATTTTGTACGTTTGTCCACTGACAAAGAAATGATCAGTCTATAATTTTAATGGTAGTTTTATTTGAACAGTGAGAGACAGAATAACAACAAAATCCAGAAAAACGCATGTCAAAAATTTTATGAATTGATTGACATTTTAATGAGGAAAATAAGTATTTAACCCCTCTGCAAAACATGATTTAGTACTTGGTGGCAAAACCCTTGTTGGCAATCACAGAGGTCAGACGTTTCTTTTAGTTGGTCACCAGGTTTGCACACATCTCAGGAGGAATTTTGTCCCACTCCACTTTGCAGATCTTCTCCAAGTCATTAAGGTTTCGAGGCTGACGTTTGGCAACTCGAACCTTCAGCTCCCTCCACAGATTTTCTATGGGATTAAGTCATTAAGGTCTGGAGACTGGCTAGGCCACTCCAGGACCTTAATGTTCTTCTTCTTGAGCCACTCCTTTGTTGCCTTGGCCGTGTGTTTTGGGTCATTGTCATGTTGAAATACCCATCCATGACCCATTTTCAATGCCCTGGCTGAGGGAAGGAGGTTCTCACCCAAGATTTGACGGTACATGGCCCCATCCATCATCCCTTTGATGCGGTGAAGTTGTCCTGTCCCCTTGGCAGAAAAACACCCTCAAAGCATAATGTTTCCACCTCCATGTTTGACGGTGGGGATGGTGTTCTTGGGGTCATAGGCAGCATTCCTCCTACTCCAAACACGGCGAGTTGAGTTGATGCCAAAGAGCTCCATTTAAGTCTCATCTGACCACAACACTTTCACCCAGTTGTCCTCTGAATCATTCAGATGTTCATTGGCAAACTTCAAACGGGCATGTATATGTGCTTTCTTGAGCAGGGGGACCTTGTGGGCGCTGCATGACTTCAGTCCTTCACGGCGTAGTGTGTTACCAACTGTTTTCTTGGTGACTATGGTCCCAGCTCCCTTGAGATCATTGACAAGATCCTCCCATGTAGTTCTGGGCTGATTCCTCACCGTTCTCATGATCATTGCAACTCCACGAGGTGAGATCTTGCATGGAGCCCCAGGCCGAGGGAGATTGACAGTTCTTTTGTGTTTCTTTCATTTGCGATTAATCGCACCAACTGTTGTCACCTTCTCACCAAGCTGCTTGGTGATGGTCTTGTAGCCCATTCCAGCCTTGTGTAGGTCTACAATCTTGTCCCTGACATCCTTGGCTCTTTGGTCTTGGCCATGGTGGAGAGTTTGGAATCTGATTGATTGATTGCTTCTGTGAACAGGTGTCCTTTATACAGGTAACAAGCTGAGATTAGGAGCACTCCATTTAAGAGTGTGCTCCTAATCTCAGCTCATGGGAGCCAGAAATCGTTCTGATTGAGAGGGGGTCAAATACTTATTATCCTCATTAAAATGCAAATAAATTTATAACATGTTTGACATGCGTTTTTCTGGATTTTGTTGTTATTCTGTCTCTCATTGTTCAAATAAACCTACCATTAAAATTATAGACTGATCATTTCTTTGTCAGTGGGCAAACGTACAAAATCAGCAGGGGATCAAATACGTTTTTCCTTCACTCTATGTACACACCACCACACACATACTATCAATACCCACATCAAGCACTACGAACAATTACTCCCTCCAACAACTTACAGCCTCATACTTCGTTCCTTTGCGGCTATGTCTCCACATTCCGACCACAATTACACATTCAACTATCATTTCAATAACAATCTCTATATGGTATTCACTCACACACTCACTATTTACTCTTTTTTCTGCTTATTGACGTTTACCTCCACCTATGTTCCTCGCGGAAAACGTGCGCTTCTTTTCACCAAAGCCGATTACAATAATTGATGCCATTCGTACAAGTGCTGCGATGGCTGCACCAACAGATAATGAATTTCTAGAAAAGAAAGAAGCAGGATGGCATTCTGCCAGTGCTATGCCTGCACCTCGAGCGAATGCAACTCCTCAACAGCAATGAGCTACACAGAAAACTAACACAGCACAAATGGCTGCTACCACAGCTAATCAAACTCCAGTCCACCAACAAGCAAGGCAGCTTGCAAACAGCACTACAATGGCTGCAACCAGGTGCCTACCCTGCAGTCAAAAGGAAAAGTTTTATTTTTCATACATTCCTCACTTAATTTAAACTTCCGATCCATTAGTTGCCATTGGTTCCATGTCTACGTCTTGCCATGCAATAACATGGAAAGGAGACCCTCCAGGGCTATGCTGCAACAGTACCATGGTTCAGCTGCCTACAAATAATGACCATCCCGAGACTATTCATGTATTGATACCTGCCAACACTACACCTATGCAAGCCATTTCCGAAACCACAATAGAAGATAGAACTCATGCTTCCAAATTACATGTTTTGGCACCAACCAACTCATCCAAACATCTGGGTACATACCCATATTTAAAGTGCAGGGCCAGGTACATAATCGCATTGGCAGTCTGCTGCCACTACCTAATGACCTACCTACATTACCACAGATATACTTGCATGTCTGACAATACTAGACAGGCTAACCAGCATTGCAACGATGTCATCAACATCTGAAGTCGCTTTCATTCTGACTGCTGAATAACATGGCACTTGAGGCATTGTCTTATAACTGAGGAATAATACCCTACACAGAAATGAAAAACAGCGACCCCATGGTGCTCTTCAATATCCACTGATTTTCTGGCAAGGTGATGATGGCTACCATTTCCTACTTGGCCAAACTGACCCAGCAACAGGCTTGTCAACACAACATACGATTTCCGTCATGGACTTCTGTGCCTTCAGGATCATGGTGTGAAACGGCAGCTTCAATCTCTTCTTGAGATGCAAAGAGCTCTTCCACCAATTTTCTGTCGACATATATGGCAAAATTTAAGCTTCATTCGATTAAACCCACCAGATGGCAAAACATCCCACATTATCTATCCTGAAGCTCTCAAAGGGTAACGAATCTAAAAGCTGTCCTCATCATGAAGCAAACAAGCCCTGCGATTGTATAACAACCAAAAAACCGTGACAAAATACACATTCGGCTGTCGCCTGATGAAGCTAGTTGCAATTACTGGAGAAACATCGTAATCAGATTGTAAATGTTGTGGCTTGACTCTCCAATACACAACCGGTTGTGCTGTACTAGTGACGAATTGGCACGTTCTGTTTACGTGACAAACCTTACTAGTTGGCTGTGTCGGGTGGGAGTGGGTTTAACGACACATTTATATATTCACGCGATCTAACCCAAACAAACCTGTACTATGAATGTATATTTGGAGTTCGCGTGTCTCTCTCCCCATGGTCACGTGGATTTTTCTCTGGATCCTTCGGGTTTCCCCTGCACATTAAGAGTCAACATCGCCACGCGTTTAGAGTATTTGACCGATATACATTTCCACACGTTGATAAGCCACTTTGTTGTGGGCAGGTCGCTCCTGAAAAAGAGCGGTAAAGCTCCTCAAGTGGGCTTAGCCTGGTGAAATAAAAAATAAACTCTAGAAATATAAAAAAAAGTTTAAAAGTAGTGAGACAGGTGAAGACAAATTAAACTTAAGCAGAGAATTAAAGCAAAATCAATCAGGCGAGAGCAGGAGGAAAAGCCCCTCTTGGCTAGGCCCCACGTTGTAATTTTCCAACCTGGACATCGATTCCATACTCGCTGCTTCTCAATTGATATCCCTACGAGAGAGAGAGGAGCGAGGCTCTACCTGGGTAAACAACAACAACCACGATGTGAACTTCTCACCTCGGATCTCAGTGAATGCGCGCGAGGAGAGGCACCCTCCTGGTATCTCGTGACGTCACGCGGCAGCAGGTGACATGACGTCACTTGCGGGGCACAACACGCTCCCCCCACGAACGGCTTTGTAACTGGATAAATTATGTTAAGGATAGGCCAGTGACCGGGTGTGGTTTTGCCCAAATAAGGATTTTACCGTCACGGAAATAAGCAGTGACTAACAAGTCGTGACGTAACGCTAGAGAGCGCGGTGGAGGGAAGTTGGGGTGACATGACGTCACGAGCGGGGATCACCTCGTCCCTGCGTCTCACACCGATGAGGTGATGAGGAGTGGTGACGTCTTAGAGCGAATCAACGGGGTTAAGAGTTTTAGTTTATTTAGATTTCTTTTCCATTGCTCCCTCTCTTGGGTGCGTGAGCTCAACAACGTGAACATTATTGTAATATTTCGATTTAAAGCTTTCGTGGCTACAGGGATTCATCGTCTTGGTTCTTTTGGTAAAGTTACATAGAAGGGAAGTAATAAAATAATAAAAATAAAACAATAATTTTTTTGGTTCTTTCGGTAAAGTCACGTGACTTTACCGAAAGAACCAAGAAGATTATTGTAATAGGTTTTTACCCTTTCAACTGGTACAAAAAATGACACCTTTATACAAGGCATCATGTTTGAAATAACCACAACACAAGCAGTCAAAATGCAAACAAAAAGAAACAACTCTGATGATATGCACTGTTCTTGAAGTTGATTGGTCCACACCCGTGACAGCTTTTCTTAGAGCCTAGTCTCCATTGGTGTTGGACCAGATGACACCAAAGGCGTACAACTCAAAGACAGCACACTATCAGAGTATTGAGAGCTCAGGGTAAGCATTTACACTGAGACCTCCTTTACCAGTGGCAAAATATAGTAATAGGTTTTTACCCTTTCAACTGGTTTGCATTTTTACTGCTTGTGTTGTGGTTATTGCAAACATGATGCCTTGTATAAAAGTGTCAGTTTTTGTACCAGTTGAAAGGGTAAAAACCTATTACTATATTTTGCCACTGGTAAAGGTCTCAGTGTGAACATTATTGTGTAGACACTGTGTGTGTGTACAATACGTCTACACTGCGTCTGTGTGCGTACACTGTGTGTGGGTGGTCCGAATCAGTCGGGCGGCATTCTCTTTTCATCAGCTGCGCAATGCTGAGTGGAAGCCACCTGGTCTGTCGCTCCGCACGAAGCTTCGGGTCTTCTCAGCCACAGTCATGCCCTCCCTTCTACAGGCATGTGAAACGTGGACCCCTCTAAATGGAACATCTGCGTCGGTTAGAAACATTCAGGCTGGCATGTCGACACTCAGATTAAGGGAAGCCAAGTGGTCGCACATTATCTATTTATTGCAGAGGTTCAATGTTGAAATCTGACAGGCACCCATGGCTACTCCAGTAACATTAACCAAAATTTCCACCGTCTGCTGAACAGTGGATGTAAAACATACTATTGTGTCATTCAAAATGCTTAGGTAATTGCATGTTGGTATCATGGTCAAGATTTGGGTAATTCCAAACATTATCTAGAAATTACACAACGGAGATTACACATCAATTATCGCACCCTACTGAGGGAATTAAGCAAGCACCTTATGAATGCAAACATTATAATTATATGTGGAAGCTTGGGAGCTTATTGGCTCTCGCTCTTGGTTAGACATCTACCCAACCCACAGGTCCATAAATACTGGCCGCTCTTACTCTGCAGGTTGAACCTAGGAATTGAGGGTTCACCTTCACATTCTTTTCATTAAAGGCCTGTGACAAAGGTAAATCTATTGGAGCTTCATTGTCTCAAGCTTACACATCTACCGAATCTCCCCTTGACTTTGTATTGTCTAAAAAGTCCAGCCACACCTCCACTTCCACAAACTGCTGGGAGTTGCCTCGCTCTGCCTCAGAATCAGAATTCTCCTCCTGCTTTACGTTGCCTCCATCGATGTGAAGGTTAGAATTTGGAGTTGAATCTTCATCTTCATATTTAACCTTCACTTCTTCGATCTTTACCATCATTGCTTCACATTTCACCATTGTTTCACATTTCATCTTCACCTCTTCACATTTCACCTTCACCTCTTCACATTTCACCTTGATACCTTTCAAAGTGTCCAAGCTGGGATTTTCTTCAGTTTTTTGTTTCACGAGGGATGGGCTCATTGCAGCACTTTGACTTTCACAAGCAGATTTCAGACTCCACTCTTTGTGGATCTTCTGATGCCTGTCTGTTCTTTGGTGTGTTATAAGATGTGCTGACTGTGTAAACGACTTCCCACACACAGTGCACTTGAATGGTTTCTCTCCTATGTGCGTTCTCTGGTGTGTTTTAAGAGTAGATGAATCTGAAAATGCCTTCCCACACACACTGCACTTGAAGGGTTTATCTCCAGTGTGTGTTCTCTGGTGTGTTATAAGATGTGGTGACTGTGCAAACGCCTTCCCACACACAGTGCACTTGAATGGTTTTTCTCCTGTGTGTGTTCTCTGGTGTGTTTTAAGAGTAGATGAATCTGAAAATGCCTTCCCACACACACTGCACTTGAAGGGTTTCTCTCCTGTGTGTGTTCTCTTGTGTTTTTTAAGATGTGATGGCTCTGCAAATGCCTTCCCACACAGAGTGCACTTGAAGGGTTTCTTTCCCGTGTGTGTTCTTTGGTGGCTCTGAAGAACTGATGACCGTGCAAATGTCTTCTCACACACAGTGCACTTGAAGGGTTTCTCTCCCGTATGTATTCTCTGGTGGCTCTGAAGAACTGATGACCCTGCAAACGACTTCCCACACACAGTGCACTTGAATGGTTTCTCTCCTGTGTGTGTTCTCTTGTGTGTTTTAAGAGTAGATGAATATAAAAATGCCTTCCCACACACACAGCACTTGAAGGGTTTCTCTCCTGTGTGAATTCTCTGGTGTTGTGTCAAGTTTCCAGTACGATCTGTGCTGTTTGCATACTGGTCGCATTGTTGCCTTTTTTTAGCGAGCTGCGCTGAATGCCTTTGCTCCATCAGACCAATTCTGCAGAGGAAGCATCAGAGGAACGTCAGCTGCAGACATAAAAAAAATTCAAACCATCTATGTCAGTATCGAGGCACAGAGGAATGTACATATACACAGTCACACATGACTTACACGTCTATAATTATTCATATATTCATGATATAGTGAAAAAGATTCCCCAATTCATCACACGGGCTGTTAAGGCACACATTGATAAGGGAAATCTTGATTTGAAGCTTTTGTGACTGCAGGAATCCATACTATTTGGTTCTTTCGGTAAAGTCACATAGATAGAAAATGTATAGATCACAACGTTTCGATCGCAACACAAGCAACCGTCATCAGGTGAAATAAACACAGCAGGAGAACTGCTGATGTAGGAGAAAGAGCTGCTGCTGCAAGAAGAGGTTATATAAGCTTTTGGTCGGCCCAACCCAAGGGTAAGTGGGCGGAGCTAGAGAAGGAATTTGTACGTAAATGTAAGAGATTAACATGTCAATGTGAAAGCTAATATAACCTCTTCTTGCAGCAGCAGCTTTCTCCTATGTCAGGAGTTCTCCTGCTGTGTTTGTTTCACCTGATGCCGGTTGTTTATGTTGCGATCGAAACGTCGTGATCTATTAATTTTCTATCTACGTGACTTTACAGATAAGGGAAATGGTCATAAATATGCCTGGAAGCCCTAGTATCTTCAAATTTAATGTTAACCCAAAACTCCAAGCACACAATTTCGGCTGTCTGGCTACAAAAATTATATTTAGAAAAGCAAAATTCAGCTAACATAGCAAAGGGTGTTGAAAGTAATACTATTTGTGTTATGCAGAAATTAATTTTCAATCGCAACTTAGAGGTGTGAAGAAGCCAGGCTCAGATTTCCTTTAACACTCAGATGAACAGATCTAATTTTAGCTGCCTATGTGCTATGTATATTTCAAAGGAAAAAAAATAAACGACTGTTATGATTTAAACTCCGTGTTCAATATAGTTAATATACTTTACAGAAAATACAAACTTTACACTGTTACACACTGGCATGGTAAAAAGGTGGTGGTGTCCAGAACCATGCCTGGCCACCTTAATCTGCTCAGTATTAATGCTTCCTCACTAGTCCATGTAATTAACTTATCAATCATGTTTGCTGCAGCCGATAATCAAACTCTAATTGTTGATTTCATAATGCAGTGAAATAACTGCCCCACCGCTCCCCACATAGATACATTCTTACATACACATACATTTCACATGGATCATTAACAGATTATATAAACAAAATATCCACCATTCATCACGAATTGTAAGTAACCTTATCACAGTGCTCATGCCATGATAGGTACTCATGCCATGATAGGTGAAATTTAAGGCCATGTAAAATGTAGATCACTTGTCAGCAGGTCATGAGAATGGTTCAGGTGACAAGGAATGACTGACAGATGCACCAGCTGTGCTCCTCATGATTTTGCTGGGTTTTAGGAACCCAGCGTTCCATCCATTCATGCGAGCGTCGCGGTTTCGACCTCATCGTTGTTGCAGAGCAAATATCTCCAACTGTCCTGCAACATACCTCACGGGCCTCCTCCACATATGCCAATCTTGACACTCCTGGTACCAGTCAATGGCAGGTCCGATCACCTCCACATCCTCCAATCTCTTCTCCAGCTAATGCCATGCCTGTTTAGCCCCTAATATCTAGACTAATAGATTCTGCTTGAGCAAGCAGTGTCTTGGAATGCAGGATTCATGACCAAACCAATGCTGCCTTCCCTGCCAAAGAGACTCATGATTAAATTCTATATCGTTATCTTAAGGATCTGTAAGCTTCTAATACAATATAGTCTGAATTTAGATTTAAAGCTTTCGTGACTGCAGGAATTCATCTTCTTGGTTCTTTCGGTAAAGTCACGTAGTAGGGAAGTAATAAAATAGTAAAAATATTATGTTTTATTTTTATTATTTTATTACTTCCCTACTACGTGACTTTACCGAAAGAACCAAGAAGACAATATAGTCTGGTTGAATAGAGGATGAATCATAGGCAGGCCAGCCTTCATTGTATAAGCCAGTACAAACGGTCATTTAAATAAGTTCATATTCTGCATCCAGAGAGGAGTAATATCTGTGGCCAAGAAGAATCAAAGCTTTGTTCATTCCTTCCTTTCTAAATCCGCTTGTCCTGGTGAGGATCGCGGTGGCAGCACGTTGAGTAGGACAGCCCACGCTTCCCTTTCCCTGGCGATAAACTGGAGCTCATCCTGGGGAATTCCCAAACGTTCCCAGGCCAGCCGAGCGACATAGTCCTGCCAGCGTGTCCTGGACCAGCCCCGGGGTCTTCGCCCAGTGGGATGTGTCTGGCAGAATTCCAGGGGAAGTCTATTGGGGGGTATCCTTACATAAATAATATTTTGATATCATCCCTAGAGCCAGACCCAGGGGTTGTGTTCGCCAACAAGCGCCTCGTGGCCGGGTGACCCACGTAACCCAGTTGGGCCCAGCTCGAAATGGCTGCGTGTTGCCATCCTGTGTGCCGACCATCCGCAAGACGAAGGGTGAAAGGCGGGTGCAATGCTAGTATGGCAGGGAGAGGGATGGTCTCAGATGGACTAGACCTTGGCGATGGACACTCACAGCTTTGTATGGAGCAAAAGCCTAGGCAGCTTCCATACAGTGTTATACAGTCTAATGCAAGAATGCTGGTCGACTAATTTGAATTGAGACTTTGGCTACCAAACCAGAGCTGGTTGTGAACACATTAAGAAGGCATGAGAGCTCCTCCTCCACTTGTAGAACTGCCTGATTATTCATGGAGAGTTGAACAGGTGCAGTGTTGTATGACATGAATTATCCAGGAACAGAACAAGATTCCCTAATAGCCATTACCAGATCATCAGAAGATGTAACATGGTTGATCAGCAGGGAACGATCCCTTAACTATAACCAGGCATCGATTAGCATATCATTGTAACCGTAACGAATGCAATGTTTTTATATGACCATTTTTATCAAACTACATAGTTATTAAATATGCTATGTAATGCACCGTATCTATATGTTAATTTGTCACAAGCCAAGTTGAACAGGAAATGGCTCTGACTCCAGGTTACGCAGCTTTGACAGGCCTGCCCAAAATAATAAAAACCCTCAACGAATGTGAGCAGAGACAGAGACATCGAAAACAAGGAACAACCCAAAGCTCCAAGCCTCTTTATGGTACTATAGGCCTTAATCACATTAAAAAAGCAGACCTAGTTTCTGCTGAAAATCCGTACTCATCTGCTGTAGTCGATCAACAGAAAATACAACTGCCCCTTGATTATCGCGGAGGTTACGTTCTTGGAAAGTGCCGCGTAAAAGCTAAAAGTGCGATATTCAATACTTAAGCCTAACCTACGTAATTGCGTTAAAGCCCTGGGCATTTTCACTACTTCTGGTTTGCCACACACGCAAAGACATTTTGACATTTCATATACTACAATTCCACACACTCATCATAGCATAAGTGTCTGCACTGCACTGCCCTGCTATATTTGTTCTCATATTTACCACGTTATCATTCCCGATTATCAGGCCTGTGTTTTTGCCACCAAATTCACCCACTTCCTTACTGCCCTCTGCACGTGCATGGCTCACCTCTAACACACACTGCAATATTTATATTTTAAAATGTACTATTCTAAAATATCGACATCTACGTACCAACACTACCGACCTCCTTCTACACGTAATATAAGCTATACAACAGCTACGACTAAATACATCACGTCTACATCGCCTGGTAAAGAATAAAAAGCACGCATATACACTCACATTAAAATAATTATATACAGTGAGGGAAAAAAGTATTTGATCCCCTGCTGATTTTGTACGTTTGTCCACTGACAAAGAAATGATCAGTCTATAATTTTAATGGTAGTTTTATTTGAACAGTGAGAGACAGAATAACAACAAAATCCAGAAAAACGCATGTCAAAAATTTTATGAATTGATTGACATTTTAATGAGGAAAATAAGTATTTAACCCCTCTGCAAAACATGATTTAGTACTTGGTGGCAAAACCCTTGTTGGCAATCACAGAGGTCAGACGTTTCTTTTAGTTGGTCACCAGGTTTGCACACATCTCAGGAGGAATTTTGTCCCACTCCACTTTGCAGATCTTCTCCAAGTCATTAAGGTTTCGAGGCTGACGTTTGGCAACTCGAACCTTCAGCTCCCTCCACAGATTTTCTATGGGATTAAGTCATTAAGGTCTGGAGACTGGCTAGGCCACTCCAGGACCTTAATGTGCTTCTTCTTGAGCCACTCCTTTGTTGCCTTGGCCGTGTGTTTTGGGTCATTGTCATGTTGAAATACCCATCCATGACCCATTTTCAATGCCCTGGCTGAGGGAAGGAGGTTCTCACCCAAGATTTGACGGTACATGGCCCCATCCATCATCCCTTTGATGCGGTGAAGTTGTCCTGTCCCCTTGGCAGAAAAACACCCTCAAAGCATAATGTTTCCACCTCCATGTTTGACGGTGGGGATGGTGTTCTTGGGGTCATAGGCAGCATTCCTCCTACTCCAAACACGGCGAGTTGAGTTGATGCCAAAGAGCTCCATTTAAGTCTCATCTGACCACAACACTTTCACCCAGTTGTCCTCTGAATCATTCAGATGTTCATTGGCAAACTTCAAACGGGCATGTATATGTGCTTTCTTGAGCAGGGGGACCTTGTGGGCGCTGCATGACTTCAGTCCTTCACGGCGTAGTGTGTTACCAACTGTTTTCTTGGTGACTATGGTCCCAGCTCCCTTGAGATCATTGACAAGATCCTCCCATGTAGTTCTGGGCTGATTCCTCACCGTTCTCATGATCATTGCAACTCCACGAGGTGAGATCTTGCATGGAGCCCCAGGCCGAGGGAGATTGACAGTTCTTTTGTGTTTCTTTCATTTGCGATTAATCGCACCAACTGTTGTCACCTTCTCACCAAGCTGCTTGGTGATGGTCTTGTAGCCCATTCCAGCCTTGTGTAGGTCTACAATCTTGTCCCTGACATCCTTGGCTCTTTGGTCTTGGCCATGGTGGAGAGTTTGGAATCTGATTGATTGATTGCTTCTGTGAACAGGTGTCCTTTATACAGGTAACAAGCTGAGATTAGGAGCACTCCATTTAAGAGTGTGCTCCTAATCTCAGCTCATGGGAGCCAGAAATCGTTCTGATTGAGAGGGGGTCAAATACTTATTATCCTCATTAAAATGCAAATAAATTTATAACATGTTTGACATGCGTTTTTCTGGATTTTGTTGTTATTCTGTCTCTCATTGTTCAAATAAACCTACCATTAAAATTATAGACTGATCATTTCTTTGTCAGTGGGCAAACGTACAAAATCAGCAGGGGATCAAATACGTTTTTCCTTCACTCTATGTACACACCACCACACACATACTATCAATACCCACATCAAGCACTACGAACAATTACTCCCTCCAACAACTTACAGCCTCATACTTCGTTCCTTTGCGGCTATGTCTCCACATTCCTGACCACAATTACACATTCAACTATCATTTCAATAACAATCTCTATATGGTATTCACTCACACACTCACTATTTACTCTTTTTTCTGCTTATTGACGTTTACCTCCACCTATGTTCCTCGCGGAAAACGTGCGCTTCTTTTCACCAAAGCCGATTACAATAATTGATGCCATTCGTACAAGTGCTGCGATGGCTGCACCAACAGATAATGAATTTCTAGAAAAGAAAGAAGCAGGATGGCATTCTGCCAGTGCTATGCCTGCACCTCGAGCGAATGCAACTCCTCAACAGCAATGAGCTACACAGAAAACTAACACAGCACAAATGGCTGCTACCACAGCTAATCAAACTCCAGTCCACCAACAAGCAAGGCAGCTTGCAAACAGCACTACAATGGCTGCAACCAGGTGCCTACCCTGCAGTCAAAAGGAAAAGTTTTATTTTTCATACATTCCTCACTTAATTTAAACTTCCGATCCATTAGTTGCCATTGGTTCCATGTCTACGTCTTGCCATGCAATAACATGGAAAGGAGACCCTCCAGGGCTATGCTGCAACAGTACCATGGTTCAGCTGCCTACAAATAATGACCATCCCGAGACTATTCATGTATTGATACCTGCCAACACTACACCTATGCAAGCCATTTCCGAAACCACAATAGAAGATAGAACTCATGCTTCCAAATTACATGTTTTGGCACCAACCAACTCATCCAAACATCTGGGTACATACCCATATTTAAAGTGCAGGGCCAGGTACATAATCGCATTGGCAGTCTGCTGCCACTACCTAATGACCTACCTACATTACCACAGATATACTTGCATGTCTGACAATACTAGACAGATGTAAGTCCTATTGCAAGACATACAAAATAAAGAAAACTCTATCTTAATTTTGGAGCTTTCGTGACTGCAGGAATTATTCTTTGGTTCTTTCGGTAAAGTCACGTATAAAGATAAAATAATAAATTAAATAATAGCATACGACGTTTCGATTGCAACACAAGCAATCATCATCAGGTATAAATAAAATAACAACAGAAAATCTAACCAGAAAACTATAGACAGACATATAAGCAGACAGATATCACCAAGATACATAGAGAGAGTAACACAGGTACAGAGAGGGGGATCGTCTCTGTGGGGGTGGCCTTAAATAGACAGAGGGGGGCGGAGGCAGAGAGAGGGAGGGGTTAGAGAAAAAATTGACATGTCAATGAGTACGAAGAAGCACGTAGTAAAGTACGCAGGCTCTCCTAATGTTCAAGCCTGCGTACTTTACTACGTGCTTCTTTGTACTCATTGACATGTCAATTTTTTCTCTAAATCCTCCCCCTCTCTGCCTCCGCCCCCCTCTGTCTATTTAAGGCCACCTGATGATGATTGCTTGTGTTGCAATCGAAACGTCGTATGCTATTATTTAATTTATTATTTTATCTTTATACGTGACTTTACCGAAAGAACCAAAGAATAAAGAAAACTCTTATGTTCACATTCTGGATTTGAATCTTTCGTGACTGCAAGGATTCATATTCTTTCTTTTTTTTCGGTAAAGTCACGTAGGTAAAATGTTTTTAATAAAAGTAATATTTATTTACTTAACTTTTATTAATTTTTTTTTTACCTACGTGACTTTATCGGAAAAAAAAACTAAGAATATCTTATGTTCACAGTATGAAGTGTGCCATGGAGATGACTTCAGAGTACAATGCTGTCATTCCTGCAGACTAAACTCCACATGTTCAGCAAGAGTGCCGCTTAAATGCACTCACAACATTTTAAGTTGCTGTCATTCTAACTGCTGAACAACATGACACTAGAAGTTATCGTCTTGCAACTGAGGAACAATACCCTACACAGAAATGAAACACACCGATCCTATGATGCGCTTCAATGTCCATTGATTTTCTGGCAAATTGATGGCTACAATTTCCTACTTCGCCAAACTGACCCAGCAGCAGGCTTATCAACACAAAATAAGATTTCCACCATGGCCGTCTTTGCCTTCATGGTGCGAAACGGCAGCTTAAATCTCCTCTTGAGATGCAAAGAGCTCTTCACAAATTTGCTGTCGACATGTATGCCAAAATTGAAGCTTCATTCGATTAAACCCACCAGATTGCAAAACATCCAACTGTGTCTATCCTGAAGCTCTCCAAGGGTAATGCATTTAAAATCTGTCCTCAATATGAAACAAACAAGCCCTGCAAATGTATAACACAACCAAAAACCGTGAAAAAAATACACATTTACCGACTTCATTGTAAGAATTTAAATAATTATAATAAAGCCACATGGCAAGACATTACTCTTAATGTTTGATTACTGAGACCTGTGCGAAGCCGGACAATAAATAAATACTATACTTACGATGTTTGTGCGTGAGTGGGGAGCAGTAGTACAATGTTTAGCGTGCTGCGCTATAAACCCAGCGACCCGATTTATATTCCCACAGAGCCAAGCCACAACATTTGGCTGTCGCCTGATGAAGCCAATTGTAATTACTCGCGAAACGTCGTACTCAGATTGTAAATGTTGTGGCTTGGCTCTCCAACACACAACCAGTGTGCTGTACTCGTGACGAATTGGCCACATTCTGTTTACGTGACAAACCTTACTAATTGGCTGTGTCGGGTGTTAGCGGGTTTAACGACACATTTATATATTTACAACAAACCTGTATTATGGATGTATATTTGGAGTTCGCGTATCTCTCTCTCCCCGTGGTTGCGTGGATTTTCCTCCGGATCCTCCGGTTTTCCCTGCACATTTAGAGGCAACATAGCCACGCGTTTAGAGTGTTTGACCGATATACATTTCACACGTTGATAAGCCACTTTGTTGTGGGCAGCTCGCTTCTGAAAAGAGCGGTATAGCTCAAGTGGGCTATGCCTGGTGAAATAAAAACGTGGAATTTTTTTTAAATAAAACAAAGTTTCAAAGTAGTGAGCCAGGTGAAGAAAAATTAAACTTAAGCAGGTGAATTAAAGCAAATGCAATCAGGCGAGGGCAGGAGGCGAGGGCAGGAGGCAAGGCCCCGCGTTGTAATGTTCAAACCTGGACATCGATTCCATACTCGCTGCTACTCAATTGATATCCCTACGAGAGAGAGAGGAGCGAGGCTCTACCTGGGTAAACAACAACAACAACCACCACCACAACAACCACGATGTGAACGTCTCACCTCGGATTGAGTGCCCGCACGGAGCACCAGTTTCCTGATATCTCGTGACGTCACGCGGCAGCAGGTGACATGACGTCACTTGGGGGGAAACAACACTGCCCCAATGAGCCGCGGTGCAACTTAATAAATTATGTTAATGCACCAGGTCCATGTCGGAGTGATTGGGCATAACTGCTGAACCCGTTGCAATGAACTCGCAACTATTTCAGAATAAATTATGTTAATGATTCGGCAGTGACCTGACGTCGCTTTGCCCAGAGCAGGATTTTGCTGGATCGAAAATCGGTGGTCACCAACCAGACGTGACGTCACGTTCAAAAGCGCAGTGTCGGGGTGAATACCTTGGTTACATGACGTCACTAGCGAGGTACACCTCCCCCTGGCGAGGTGAGAGTTTACGTTTATTTAGATTCCTTTCCATTGCTCCCTTTCTTTAACAGACCCTTTGGGTGCGTGAGCTCAACAAAGTGAATATTGTGTGTATATACACTGTCTATGTACACATGGTGTGTCCATGTACACCAGGCATGTCCAAAGTCCGGTCCGCGGGCCAATTACGGCCCGCGGTCAGATTTCATACGGCCCGCAGCTTCGGTCTTATAATGTGTTATTTATGGCTCGCTAGCTCTGTCAGAATAAATAAATCATAAAACTGTAATGATGTAAATTTCGATTTAAAGCTTTCGTGGCTGCAGGGATTCATCTTCTTGGTTCTTTCGGTAAAGTCACGTAGAATTGAAATAATAAAATAATAAAAATAAAACAGTAATAAAATAATTCTCACGACGTTTCGGCCACAACGCAAGTAGCCATCCTCAGGTGGAGAACAGGTCTGTCGAGGAGACAGAGTCTGAATGACTCATTCGAAACGTCGTGAGAATTATTTTATTATGTTTAATTTTTATTATTTAAATTCTACGTGACTTTACCGAAAGAACCAAGATGTAATGATGTAATTCCTCCTTTCACCACACGGTGGCAGCACCATTCTAATGCCATCTGGCACTGCATCCGTCATGACAGTGAGGGCCGCTGCTTTCAGGAGCGGTGGGAATTACAATACTTCTTCACTGAAAATCGAGGCAATTGTTTGTCTAATTTGTAAAGAGACGGTTGCCTTGTTTAAGGATTTCAACGTAATAGGCCGTAAGGTGAACAAGGAAAAAGTGGCAAGAAAATGATTTTCGTTCCCACACCTGGGAACTACTTTTTAAATGAATTTTTTCATAGACAAAACCATTTTCGACTTTATGTTAAAAGTTCTCCGCAAAATACCCTGCAGTTTTTTTTAAAATCCATAAATGTATATAATTGTGAATTGGAAAAAACTAAAATCTTATGCTACTGGTTTTGTTTGTAACTTTATTTATATACATTTTAGCAACACAAAAATATCTCTCAAACTGACACTTATACATGTACCTAAACACTTGAGACAGGTTTTGGTGCATTATATACTCAAGTGTGAATGTAGACCATGAAATATGGCAAATTTGTAGAAAATATGCTTCAACTTCACGGATTGCCACTAAGCAAAATGAAACATAAACATTTAAATTTAGCAAAACCGTGCTGTTTTGTACATAAAAATTTTCAGTAGGTACTGTGTAATCACAGAAAGATATATATATAAGCACACTTTGGCATAAGTTGGCTGAAATGACTCGAAATGCTACACTGTCCCCTTGTTTTGGAATGCTGACAAAAAAAATTACAATTCTACCACAGATTCTTTACAGCTCAAAATCACCTTAAATTATAACACAGCGCATATTTACTCATCGGTATCATCCCTATCACTATCAGAGTCATCATCCCATGTAGGTCTTCTGTTTCCTGTGAAACATTTGCACAATTTTGGCACCGACATAAATCAGTACAAGACAGTCTTGCAGACATACAGGAACATCTTCCAGTCTCACATTTGCTATGCTTGCAACTGCAGTGGACTGCCTGCAACACGCTTTCAGGGGCAGGATTTCTAGTCATCCAGGTCACTGTTAACTCACCATCCTCAGGGTGCCATCCATTGCCAACGGGTGAAGGGGCACACATTATACCTTTTCAGAGAATGTCTCATTATGGCTGCTTGGTAGTTTGCCCTTTTGCAGTGTTGGTACAGGGCGTCACTTGTAAGGGGCATGGATAGTTCTGGAAAAGCTGACGATGCCATACAGAATGCTTTGTATCTTGTATCATTCACATTTTCGGCAGATGACTGGCCATACAGGTGGCACACATATGTGCAAAATAGCTCAAAGGTAGACTGGTCTAGGTTAAAACTGCTACCCAGATTTGTAAAAGCAGTCAGATATTCCTTTTTCTCACAAGCAACAGAAAATGCCTTTCTTTTGCCTTTGCCATAAAAGGCACTTGTAGAGTCACAACCTGAGAAGGTATGGATCCCAATAAGTGCCAAACAGACACTTGTGCCAAGAGCTGACGACACCTTAGCTAAGTCAATGAGCCTTGTTTTGTTGCCAACCCCCGTGAAAAAATACAACCTACATGGTAAATCTGGCTGCAGACTTAAAGCAATCACTGCCACATCAGTATCAGGGCTCTTGATGACTACAGTTTGATGTTCCTGTGCAGCATGTTGTGCATGTAAAAACACCCTGGTGTCACATTCCTCATGATCACATGTCAGATCTTCAACAGCAAGGATAGTATGTAAACCCTCCATTACAGTCACGCAGTGACACAGGTCTCCATGTGCTATGTACAAGCTTAAGTCCTTTCCCACAGTGGTAAGATCAGCCTCTCGCCACACAACATAGAGTAATTCTGCCAGTGCTTCTTTGTTTGTTCCATCTGATATAAACTTTTTCCATTGTGTTGGTGTCTTCTGATCCCGTCCATAAATTTTCACCAGTTGTGTACCACCACCAGCTCTACGTGACCGTTCTACGTTTTTAATACTCATTTTTGTATACTGGTCAATCACAAAGTCTATCCGTGTAAAGTTGTGTTTCAGAGCAAGTTTGACTATGTACTGCAGTATGGTCTCTGCAAGCTCTCCAAAGATACTTGGTATTGACCGAATGGCTTGAATGACTGCCATGCCATTGTAAAGTAGTCACTTGGCAGGAGACGACCTTGATGGGTAGCACACCTTTTTATTAACACCAAACTGTTACACGGGTGGCAACTGCCACATAACCCACGAGGTTCCCCTGAGCTATACCCACACGGGCTCTCACGCCCCGTAGCTTCTTGGAACACACCCGGCTGGGTTATTAGTCTCGACTCTGGGTCCCCCTAACCTGGTTCCACATGGACACCAGGCCCCGGGTCCCACAGCCTCGCCTCTGAGCCGCACAGGGTCCCGGCCCTTACAAGGACAGCGGGGCTAGGGGTCTCAGGGCCCTATCTCTTCAACTCCGTCTTCGATCTTCAGCTGGTAATAACTCCCCGAGTGCTCTCGCGCGTCCCCCTTTATAGTCCTCCATGCGGACGTCGCTGAGAGCACCCACCCAAGTTGACCAATCACCCAGCGCTCTCTCTACGATCCTCTTTCCCATATCGTGTCTGCGTGCACAACCACGCACCCAGCGCCGCCCCGTGATCCATCACTGTCAGTGTGCGTCAACACCCCCCACACTCGATGTAGCCACGCCCGGCGCCCGCACACCCACGCCCCCACCTTGTCGGCGCGCACCGCCACTACATCACCCCCTACCACATAGCTCGCAGCCGACCCGGCTGCTAAAATTTTTTTTATTTCCCCCCCCAATTAGTGTGTGCCCCGTAACATCAACAACAATTACAACAACACAATAAGAACTCCGCCCACCGTAAGCAGAGCATATCACCGCAACAACAGAACAATATATACAAGCGGCGAGAGACAACAATAAACGTATATACAAAAATGACTCGTACAGCGTCCCTTCATTTTCTGATCACCCCTTGAACGGGGCAATGTACTGGGCAGAAGGGGAACGTGGCGCCGAGCCGCAATCTCGGGCCCCCCCCCCCCCCCCCCCCTTCAGGAAAAGTGGCTAGTCTTAGCACGAGTCCGTCTGGCCGGTCCGTCATACGGAGCCAGACGCGGTTGACCGTCCGGTGGTGCCGGCAGTCCAGGGAGGCACGGGGCAGGTATTGTAGATCCGTGCGTGCCTCGGGATTCCGGCTCTCGGTGGTCAGCCGCCGTCAGGTCCGCGACACCTGGGAGTAGGTCAGGCGGAGACACGTGAGGATCAGACTGCGACACCTGCCACCCCGAGCCGACGGCCCCATCACACGCTCGGTCGTTACGGCACACAGGGAGGTCATGGGTTTCCGCGAAAGGTTTCAGCCGGGAAGGGTGTACGTACCAACGGCGTTTTCCCCATTTAATCTGGATACACTGGGGTCGCGCAACACGCACGATTTCCACCGGTCCCCTCCATGGTCTCAACAACTTAGGGGACGTGGCCAACGGTGCATGTGGACAATGCAGCCAGGCCTTATCGCCTGTTTTCTAATCGTGCGTATGCACCTTCCGTTCATGCAACCTTTCGTTAGCGACCTGGCGCGACCTTGAATTTAACCTTGCAGCCTCTCGCGCTTCAGCCAGCTTGGCGATATTAAATTTAATGTGGTCGGCCAATTTGGATTTCGCACGTGGCTGGGAAATCCCCAGTTGGACATCCATAGGCGGATCAGCCTCCCGCCCATACATGAGAAAAAATGGGGAAAAGCCCGTTGCCGCATGGAGGGCCATACGATAGGCCGCGAGTACCCCGGGTACATGTAAGTCCCAATCAACCTGATCATTGCAGACCTGTTGGCACAGCATAGAAGTGATCGTTCTGTTCAGACGTTCAACCATTCCATCAGTCTGCGGGTGGTACGGGGAGGTACGCACTTTTTTTGTACCCAACAGGTCACACACCTCGCGCAACAAAACGCTCGAAAAATTCTTTCCTTGGTCCGTCAGCAAGCGTTCTGGGGCGCCTTTGTCCAAAACGTAGCCCTGGACAAAGGCGTCCGCCACCGCCGCAGCCGACTGGTTGGCGAGTGGCCACGCCATAGGCCATCGGGTGAAGTACTCTACGCCGACCAGCAGGTATTTGTTTCCCCTAGGTGTAGCGGAA